TCTGGACAGTCTAGTTTCTCCCCGAATGAGTCTGGGTCTCCAGAGTCTCGCACAGAACTGGAGCTTTTTTCTCCCTCCCGATTGAGAAAGCCAGCCAAGTACTCAGTTGCCAGCCCTCTCAGGGCACGCGCGCCTCCAGGTCACTGCCTTCTGCAGCTCCTCTGAGTCTCAGTGTGCTTTCCTCTTTCCTTCTAGTTGTAGAATTTCTACTCAGCCAGCCTTCCTGTTGTTCTGGATGATGTCTGTTTTGTCTTTTAGTTGTAGTTTTGAAATTGTTGTGCAAGGCAGCTGTTTAAGTGTTTACCTATGTCGCCATCTTGATTTCTCTCTAAAAATAGTTCTTAAAACCTATGTAGATTTTCTGGGGGATTATTTGGTTTGGTTATTTGTAATATATTAAAAGTAGGAAGCAGGCTCCATCTAGGAAATTTCCTATGATTTAATTTCCCCCCCTCCTTCTCTTCCCATCTCCTTTTCTTTCCTGCTCTATTCCTACTCTTTCTCTTATTTATTTCGTATAATTTCTGGTAGATTAATTCTAAGTAATTTTGGTTGATATGCTAAGTGCTTGTGATATTGTTTATGTAGTTTTGTGTGCTTTTTAAATAGGTAGGCCAAGCCTTAACTCACAAAAAACTTCTTTAGAATCCCTTCTAAAGAATTCTAATTTTCCATCCTTACTACCACCCAAAACATTGGTTGGCCTTAATATTTTTTAATCCTGAATTGTCAGTGGTAGAATCAGACTGGGAAGAATTTGAATGTTTCCAGAGAAAATGTGCTTTTAAACAATACGCTAAACTACAAGAACCCAGAGTTCTTTCCTTTGAGTAATGCATTACTGTTTGTGCTTCTGGGTTGAAGTGAAACAGATTATTCAGTAATGTCAAGCTATAAAAATGTTAGCCCTTTAAAAAAAATTATACAGTCAGTTATATCCATTCATAGACTTTGGGACTTTATAGGTCATGCTGCATAGTAATCATAGGACAAATACTTCTTTGGAAGCTATACAAACAAAATCCGTCTGTATGATCTATGAACTTTGGTATTTTGACAAGGATGTTTACAGTGTATCCTCTTCCCTTATGTAATCTCTTTATCTTAAAGAGAAGGAAGTAATAAGTCTAACCAATGGACACAGACAACAGTGGGGTGAAGGTATGAGTAGAGGAATGCGGGATGGGGTGATAAGGATACATATGTAATACCTTCATCAGTAAAGAAATCAAAAAAGAAAATAATACAAGTGATTTTTCACAGCTCTGAAAATTTGCTTAACTTAATAACTATTGATTGAGTTTATCACGAAGCATACACCATCCCTGACTTTATGTGTTGCCCTCCTAAGATAATTTGAAGCAGTATTAAATCTTCCTCCCAGAAAAATATGGAAAATCTTATTCTTTGTGGTATTTTGTGATTATCTCTGCTAGAAACTCCCCTTTCCATTTATGGATTTCTAGATAAAGCAACTCAGTAAGAACTAATGGGACAAATAGCGAAACTAGGACTAATGAGGGATTTTAGAAATTTGAAAATAACAGGAATACTAAATAATAAAAACAAAGCAGGCTCACCACAGTCACATAAACGAGATTGCCAAAAGAAACTGATAGTGACCCAAGCACACAAAAACTTAGTATGATGTTTAATGCTGTTCTCTAACAATTTTTCTTAGATTTAGATATACTTGGAAGTATTTAAAGAAATTAAGTTTAACAAAGCAACTTAATTTCCCAAAGAATAAACAAATAAGAATCTTTTCAATATTAATGGTGCCTAACGAGCATTATATTTTGTAAATTCAAAATATTCTTACATTTTAATACAATTCCCAAATGCTTTAATAAACCAATTTAACCATTAAGTGTCTTAGGAAAATAGGTTTGTGAAATTGGAGATTGTTTAGGCTCATATACATGTCCTTACATGTCATGTTGAAATAGGAAAAACTACAAATATTTTAAAATTACTAAATTCAGAAAAGCAGTTTTCCTCCCATTCTTTTAATATGATTATGTGCCCTTCCTATGTGGATAAAAGAATGAGAAAAATGATATAAACTGAGTATGAGGATAGACAGATAACAGGTAACTGGGATACAGATTCTTAAAGTCTAGGGGTTTATTCTGGAGTGATATGGGGTGCCATTATACAGTTTTTAGCAGAGGAATAACATGACCTAACTTGTGATTTAAAAGAATCATTTGGGCTACGACATTGATAATTGAATGTAGGAGGAAAAGAGCAGAAACAAGGGACTGTTGAAGAAGCTATTGCAATAATCCAGGGAAGAGATAGTTCAGAATCGAGTGAAAATAATGAGAAGTGGTAAATTCAGAGTACATTTTGAAAGCTGAGCCCACAGGATTTCCTGACAGTTTTGATATGGGGTGTATGAGAAACAAAGAGGTCAAGAATGGCTACAGTGTTATTTGCATGAACAATCAGAAAGGATTAGAGTTGCCTTCAACTGAGTTGAGGAAGACTGCAACTGGACCTTGTCTGGAGGATAGAGGCATATGAGAAGATCAATTTGGACATATTAAATTTGAGTTGTCAGACATGCATTTGGACTAGAGTTCAAGCTTGGAAGTCACAGCCTGTAGATGATATTAAGTAAGCCCATGTCCATGGAACTGGACGTAAATTGCCTGGTAACTGGACATCAAGGTGGTAGCTGAAAACTAACTTTAACGATCACAGTTTTTCGTGGTGTCAGTATTGCTGATAACTTACTTCTTCTGACCGAATTTAAGGACCAAAACCAATTCTTCTTAGAGATTTTGGCCTAAATAGTATACCATATGTAAAGTAATAAGCATCCATTAAATGTTTCTTTTTCCTTTCATACATTGCACCATTTAAAGGACAAAGCAACTTAACTGCAGGATGTCTGCATTTACCCTCTCCACTCTTCAGTAGGTTTGGGGAAATTATGAATGAATAAGGCAAACTATCAGGTACTGTTAGTTTGAATGTAATAGTTGAGAAAAATTCAAATGATGAAATTAGAAAAACAATCTCTATACCCTTGGGCCCTGAGGAAAGACATCACCAGTGGTTCCTATACTGGGGCACATTGGCATTAGTTGGGCATCTCTTAGAAATATTGGTCTTTGTTTCTACTCCCAGACCTGATTCATTTGGTATGGAATATGATGTAGGCATCAAGAGTTTTAGAATTTTTCCAGGTGGCTAATGTACAGCAAAGTTTGAGAACTACCTGATGTATACTGTTGGTTTTCTAATGGAACTCTCTCTAATAATCACAGTATTTAAATTTCCTTTCATATTTTTTTTTTCCATTTTTTGCTGGTGCCAAAAATGGCAGCAACATTGATAAAAGGTCCTCTTGCAGTCATTATGCCAAGTGAAATAAGTCAGATAAAAAAAGAAAAACACTATATGATTTCATTTATATGTGGGATTTTTTAAAAAACACACACACTGAAGTCATAGATACAAAAAACAGATTGGTGGTTGGGAAGGAGGAAAAAATGGGTGAAGGTGATCAAATGGTAAGGAATTCCAGATATAAAATGAATTAAGTTCTTGGGATGCAATGTACAGCATGGTGACTATAGTTAATAATACTATCATGCATGTTTGAAAGTTGATAAGAGATCTTAAAAGTTAGTACAAAAAATTTGCTATGATAGCTTCATTGGGCTTGAAAAGGACCTGGATTCAAATCACAGTTATTTTGCTTATTAGCAGAATTATAATAGGCAATTTCTTTAACCTTCCTGATATTCTGAATTCTTTTCTCTAACATGAGAATAACCAAATATACTTTGCATGGTTATTATAAATAGTTTTTAAAGCTAATGTATGTAAAGGTAAATAATAAAGAACTATATAAAGATATTAAAGAATTATTTTAAAATATTTTTCTTAACCTCAGAAATGATAAAATATTATAAAATGTAGTAATTTCCTGAAAGTGAATAGATTATTATTTTTTCACTGCCATAAGAATAAAGCTTTTCATACATCAGGTAATAAGTGCTGTTAAGTAAACATGTTTAGAGGAAATGTTGTTATGTATTTATTTCCTACTAGAGGCCAGGTGCATGAAAAGTCATGTGCTGGAGGGAGGGGCCCCTCAACCCGGCCTGCCCCCTCTCACAGTCCTGGAGCCCCCAGAGACAAGAGGTGAACCGGCAATCGGGAAGGCGACACCCCCCTCACACCTCTGCTGCTGCCACTGCCGGCAGTGCAAGCCTCAGCCGGCCCTGGCTAACTGAGCCTCAGGTGGCCCTGGATGGCTGGGAAGCCACCATCTGAGGCTTGCCTGCACCGCGGGCCGGCCCTGGTGGCTGGGGGCTGAGGAGACTGGGTGACTATGGAGGTAGGCATGTGCCTGCTGTCCCGGCTTTGCTGAGGGGACTGGGTGCTGCCATCGTGTGACTGTGAGCGCCTCCATTTTTGGGGGTAGGGCAGTCAGCATACTTCCTACTTATTGGCTGTGGGCACTGCCATCTTTGTGACGGCATGAGGGTCCATTAGCATATTTCATCTTTATTATATAGGATAGAGTGTATTAATACGTGAAAAACATGTGGGAAACTCAGGCTTGGATTTCAACACAGATGTCACTTATTAACAAGTTTGTGTCAGTAGACATGTTCTAGGTCTCAGGTTTCTTTTCTCTTTATTTTGGGGATAATAACCTCTCAGGGCTCCTAAGTGAGATTCAAGTATAAAGCACCAAGCATAGTGACTGGCACAGAGCTTGAAGGAAATGTTACTTCATTTTTCCCCTCCAAGAGTACTATGATATTGGAATAGTAATTTTAAATGCTGAATAATGATAATTTCTCAGTAGCTAAATGTTCTTAACCATCACTTTTTATTTGTTTTGCCGATTTCTATATCATTTTAACTTTTAAGTGTCTACCTCCCCTCCCACTGTCAGCGCTTTGAAAAGCAGTTTTTATTTTGTATGCTTTTTCAGGGAATGAAAGAAGCCATTTCAACGCTAAGTCTACACCATGGACAGCACAAAGAAGAAGAATGGCAATTACAAAGATGATCTTCTTCTTAGGATGGGACTTAATGATAATAAAGCGGGGATGGAAGGATTAGATAAAGAGAAAATAAACAAAATTATAATGGAAGCCACAAAGGTACGTTTTTGTTTCTTTCAATATCTTTAATATAATAACTTTTATACTTGTCGTTTAAATGAAAATCAGTAAGTTTTAAACATCCTTTTAATTATAATTTTCATATATAACGTTGTTAAGCTACAAATGGGCATGGAAGAATCTTTCTATTCATTTGTTCTTGCCATCCCATTTTCTACTTCACATATACATAATATGCATGTAAAAGCAAAATATCATATATGTATTTTTTTTGCCATTTTAACCCCAGGAGGAGAATATTGTGATTGTTGTTGTTTTTTCCAGCTTTTAAAGCTTTATAGTTTTCAAAATAAAAAGTTCAGGGAAAAATAATTTTAGTATATAAAACGTAGATACAATTTTGAAAGTTAAGTGGATTGTGAGATGAAATAAGCAGGTATAACTTATCGACCCTGATTGAATCCTGCTTAAACAAAAACATAGATGAATTTGAAGTTGGAAAGGATACTAGATGATAATAAGGAATTATTCACTTTATTAGTTATAAAAATGTTATGATTATGAGGGGAAATAGCCTTATGTTTTTTTTTTCTTTTTTAAGTATATTTTTATTGATTTCTGAGAGGGAGACAGAGAGAAACATCCTATATAATAAGAGAGGAATATGCTAATTATCTATTATGCTGTAATAACCTGACAGTTCCTCAAAAGATTTAGTGTGGAGTTACCATGTGACACAGACTCACTCCTAGGTGCATATCCAAGGGAAATGAAAACATGTCTGCACACAAAACATGTACACATATAATCATTGCAACATTTTTTATAATAACCAAAAGTAAAAATAATCCAGATGTCTATCAGTCTAATGAATAGAAAGATATTATGTTCAGTGATAGTATAATAGGTAATTTTCCGAAAATTATTTTCTTTAATGACTAACAGTAAATTTTTAAAAATACTTTTAAAGTAAAAGTGAAGGAGGTAACTGATGATCCATCTGATTAAGGCCTTGAATATGACCTAAGGATTCATTGTTATTTTTTAGTGCAGATATGTATTCATCTTAGTTTATAATGTGCTTAATACTGCTTCACAACAATTCTATCATGTAGGTAAGTATAAAGAAACTGAAACACAGAAAGATTAATTTTAGGATTGCTTAGCTAGAAATAGTTGAGCTACATTTTGAATTTAATCATTCTGATGCTCTCTTATTCTTAAGCTTCCAGGTTATAATACAGTGATGCTTTCCTTCAGACATTTTTCTTATGCTTTGCTCTGCTTTCCTACATAGGGGTCCAGATTTTATGGAAATGAGCTCAAGAAAGAAAAGCAAGTAAACCAACGAATTGAAAATATGATGCAACAAAAAGCTCAAATTACAAGTCAGCAGCTAAGGAAAGCACAATTACAGGTATTAATTTATTTGCTAAAGAAAGTGAAACCTGATAGAATAGGAATTGACAGTTTAAATGTATCATGCTCATATTTTAAGTAAAAACAAGGTAAAATATAAATAAAATGTTTGTTAAACTGTAAAACAAAAATTTAACAAATATGTATACTTTGTTAAAATTACTCTACTTTACATAAGATCCTACACTTAGACATTGTCACCTTCATCAATCAGACGAGTAAAAGGAACCTTAATTAGGTTAAATAACTTGCCTAGTTATTTGACAAGTAGTTGGCAAAGTCAAAGCTTATATTCTTTTTTTATATACATACTTGGCAGCTAGAAGGGCCACAAGATTAATGTGCCATATTTTCTACAATGCTGATTTTAGAGGAACATATTAACTAATTAAATTAAAAGATAATTTAAAACATAATTGTATTATAGTAAAACAAAAAGTCACATAAAGGGTAGACTGTCTAATGTCTAATTTTTATTTTATTTTATTTTTTTAAAATATATTTTATTGATATTCCACAGAGAGGAAGAGAGAGGGATAGAGAGCCAGAAACATCGATGAGAGAGAATCATCGATCAGCTGCCTCTTGCACACCCCCCACCGGGGATATGCCCGCAACCAACGCACATGCCCCTGACCGGAATCGAACCTGGGACCCTTCAGTCCGCAGGCCAACGCTTTATCCACTGAGCCAAACCGGTCTCGGCTAATGTCTAATTTTTAAAATAAAACACAAGAATTCTAAAAATTTGAGGGCTTTTGGCTTCTTCAGAATCTTTGGAGAGTAAATACTTTGTTTCCTCTGGTATTAAAAGTTATTTCAGGAGAAAAGTTTGATAAGAACTACACTGCCAGAGAACACATGGTAGATTGATAACTCAAAGCAGTCAAGGTTCTGCTAATAAAACTAAAGTTTAATTTTAAAAATAATCTTATTGTTGATAAATCTGATTCAATTTAACAAAGCACTTTACAACATAATGATAAAATCATAATTTGGTTCTTGTGATAGAGTTGAGATCATAAATTTTATGTCTTCTTTACCAAACTATAATGTGCCATTTAAAAATATATATATGCTTTCCCAGAGCACAAGCTAATTTTGATCTTCTGTGTTAAGAAGTCTGCTACCATGATAAAAGATAATTTGTCTACCAAATCATCATTTTTAGTGCTTCATTGCATGCCACTGTATGGAGGTACCATAATTTATTTACTTTAACCCACTGGTTCCAGTTTTTTTGTTTTATATACATCCTTGTGATAATCATTCTTATTTACATGTCTTTTTGTAAGCCCCTACCCACCTCCCCTCTGACAGCTATTGGTCTATTTCATGTATTCCATGCCTCTTTTTCTATTTTGTTCTTCAGATTATTTTGTTCATTACATTCCACATATAAGTGAAATCATATGGTATTTGTCTTTCTCTGACTGGCTTGTTTCACTTAGCATAATAATCTCCAGGTCCATCCATGCTGTGGCAAAAGATGGTTGTCTTTTTACACATTAGCTACTAATATTTCCTTTTTCTGGCAATTTCCTCTTTTATTCTGTTAGGATGTAGGCTAAGTAGCTGGCACAAGAGACCCAAATATATAATTGTCTAAATAAGACAAAAATTTATTTCTCTCTCACATAATAGGTAAATAATCCCAGCTAGTCAGTTCTGATTACCATAGTAATTTTGAGAACCAGTTTCTGCATGATGTTTCATAATTTCAAAAAGGTTATCCTTATCAGGATTGACAAAACTGGATTAGAAAGAACGAAGAAAAAATTAAAGGCAAAGAATTTGCTATTACACAAGTGAAAAAGAAGTTGCACACATTATTTCAGCTCACATCCTTTTATAAGAATTTAAGTTCCACCATCATACCTAACTGTAAGAGAAGCTGTAAAATACACCTGAGTGGCCATGTACAGCTAAAAACCTATTACTTTAGAAGGAAGAATGGATTTGGGGGTTCAACTAACAGTCCAAAGCAATGTTCTCTGTCTGTATTTCTAGAGGAGCAGGTATCTTTTTTCTCTTGATTTATAGATATTGTCATATATTAAGGATTTTTTATTTTTAAAAAATATATCTTATTGATTTTTTTACTGACATGAAAGGAGAGAGATAGAGTTAGAAACATCAATGAGAGAGAAACATCAATTAGTTGCCTCCTGCACACCCCCTACTGCCCAAAATCAAGGCACATGCCCTTGACCAGAATTGAACCTGGGACTCTTGAGTCCACAGGCCAGCGCTCTATCCACTGAGCCAAACCGGTTAGGGTATATTAAGGATTTTTTAGTCTGCCACTTGTCAATATTTTTCCAGTTTGTTGTCTTTTAATTTTACAGGGTTTCCCCCCACCCCAATATAATTTTAAATGTTTATATAAACAAATTCAATAATATTTTTAAAAATTTCCTTTTCTTAAATATTACGCATAGAGGTTATTCCTCACAAATAAGCCTATGTACTTTTAATATTTGCATAGATTTTGTTATACTTAAATATTTAGTCTCTTTGGAATTTGTTTTGATGTAAGGTATGAAGTATTTTTTGTTAAATAGTGAATATTATTTTTTTCCTAAGTGATATTATTTTCCCCAAATAATGATTCTCTTGTCCCAACATCACTATTGAATCATGAGTCCTTTCTCTACTGAGTTGAAGAGGCATGTTTATATACTAAACTCTCATTGTACTTGGATTTGTTTCTGGACTCTCCTGATCAATAAAATCTTTTCCTGTATCAGTACCATGCAATTTTAATTACTAAATTACAATAACATAGTTTAATATCCTCCTTCACTGTTCTTCTTTAAAATTTTTTATTATTTTTCTCATGCATTCTTTTAAATAAATTTAAGCATCATTTTTATCAAGGTTTTTAAAAATTCTATTCTGTCCATATTAACATTGTTTTTAAATTGATATTAATTCTTATGCAATTGATTTTCTAGATCTTGTTTTGGTGAGTTTTATAGATCCATTGCCTGCAAATATCTTTAGGTTTTAAAGATATAATACATATGAGTGGTACAATATATAATAACATTTTGCTGTTCATACTATTTTTAAAGCTCATATTTTAAAATATGCTAATAATTTGGAGGAATGAAGAGTACCTGTATATATTGTGCAACAGAATTTCAGATTTTGTTACAGTTTTAGTTGACTATTTCACAGGAAGATCCTTGGGGAATGACAGGAAATGTGTTTTCTGTTGATTGTTAAATTGTTTTGTTTGTTAAGCTTCCTTTAAAAGAAGTTGTATAAATGGGAGGGGATTGAGGAAGTTTTAAGGAGTCTAGAAGTTCTCAGAGAACAGAAACGTTTTCATAGGAAATGTGTTTCTATTTTTGAGTCATAAAATTTCTAAATAGTAGATTTTATTATGTGTGATAAGATAGTATGAACTATTGCCAGTCAAGCTGAGGTAAGTAATCTCTGTAGACATGAACTCCCATAATATTTATTCATATCCTCTCCATGTATTCCCCACCCCATCCTCATTTGATTTCTTAAAGGCACATTTTTGTAGCTGCTAAAACATCTTATTATAGTATGGGTTCATAAATTGAATAGACAAACATCATATTATAGTAAATGGCAACTATACAGCAAATCACTGAATTTTTATCATTTTAACACTTGATTTTGTGAATTCAGATTTATTCAACAATTATCAGAGTAATGCTAATTAAGAAAATGAAAAACAATATTTCTGAAATACTCTCCTAGATGTAATTTAAAAAAGGATTTTTAAGAACTTAGACAATATATGGATATCAAACATACTACTGGCTTATTTCAGTGATAAAAACCTTTAAAGATCTATTTTAGGGTAGCATAAAATAACAGAAAGAGCACAGCCTTTGAGTAACCTGATTTCCAGGTCTAATTCTAACATTAACCAGCTGTAAGAAGGGCAAATTACTTAATCTTATTGAGTTTTAGTTTCCTTATCTATACTAGTGAAATGGGAGTAATAATCATTATGTCACAATTATTTTAACCATTAAATGCATTAACAATAAAAAGCACTTAAAATATACCCTTGTCATTTAATATACTCAGCAAATGTCACGTCTACTCTTAAAATTATAGGTACTATCATTAAGCCCTTACCACTTTACAAATAAGTAAAGTGAGGAGGAGAGGACAGTTACACTGTCATGTAACTAATTATTGGCAGAGCTGAGACCCAAACAAAAGCCATTATCCTGTGACATACAGGGTCTCGAGTGTGGCAAAAGGGATACCGTACTTACATGTTGAGATTCATATCCAAACTTGAAAGTCATTTGGAAGGAAATATGGAAGAAAGGAAAACAAGAATGAGGATTTCACTAGAAGAAACTTGAAAAAAGCAGTGGTGGGCATTTGGTAAATGCTGATAGAAAAGAGTTCAGAGAAGGGTGACTAATGAGAGATAGTAAAGGAAAATGGAATATATGAGTCATCAGTGGGGAGGTTTCTTTTTGGCAACTGCATACTTGCCATAAGCCCAGAAAGGTCAATAGATTGCTGAAGAAACCGCCATATCTTTAATATATGAGTCCAAGGAGAATTTTTCCCATTTAGTTTGCTTTCTATTATCTTTTCCCTTTCCAACGATTCTGGGTTAAGATATTTCAGATGCTGCTCTCTTATTCTCAGTTGACTCATATTTTAAGCATATTTTCTGGATTAATATAGAGTAGTTTTCAAATCCTTGTTTTTATTAGTTTCCATGACTTGCTCATATCTTTTTTTTTAATGTCAAGATGCTATTCTCCAGGGTAAAATTGAACTAGAAGTTTTAAAACTAGATAATAAATCAGTTTAATGTTGAAAAGTTTCATTTATTAGTCATAGTGTGTCACTGCATGAGATCAGCCTTCCCCAAAATTTTTCTACAAATACTACTTTCTCTTTTTAACCAGAATATACATATGTATAGATTTTATCCCCCCCCCCCTTTCTTTCTTAAAGTTCTTTCTCCTTCTTATCCGAGACAAGGTTTCTTCTTAGGTACTAAACTCACAATTCAGTATCTAATACAATAAGTGCCATAGTAAGAACAGGAAAACTTATAAGGAAACATTTAATTCTGCGATGCAGAGGACAGAGATTCAGTTAAGTTTCAGAGAAATATCTGGATTCCCAAAGGCTTTGTGTCAGGAAGGGCTTTCTCCGCATAGAAACAGCCTGAAGAAGACAATGAGCACTGCAGATTGTTCAGTGAATTGCAGCCGAAATAGAATCAGACCCTCTAGGAAGTCTTGCGATGAATGCTAGAGACAAATGTGATTCAGTGTGATTGTTTCTAAAAGAGAAGTTGCAGTCTTAACCTGCAGCTAGTGGGCAGCTAGTGTCACTATAATGCTAAGAAGCAATGATATTGATAGTAGCAAGGCTGAAGACCAGTGAGGGGAAAGGCTAAATTATACCCTTGTAACTCTCCACCTTTGAGGAAGCCTGCCATAGGGATTTCCACGTGATGGAAATTGCTTTTATTCTGGAGATAACCCCATTTACATATTTATGGCTGTTTTCCCTCAATTTTTTAAAAACGTATTTTTATTGATTTCAGAGAAGCAGGGAGAGAGAGATAGAAACATCATTGGTGAGAGAAAAATCATTGATCGGCTGCCTCCTGCACCCCCCACACTGGCATGTGCCCTGCAACCCTGGCATGTGCCCTGATCTCCTGGTTCATAGGTCGATGCTCAACTACAGAGCCACACTGGCTCCCCTCAAGTTTTTATTGTTTTGTTTTACAGCTAGACATTGATCCTTTTAGTAATAGGTTGCATTTGTTGAATTTGTACCATTTGCCAGCCACTCTTCCATGTTCTTTATGTGTTCCATCTCACTCAGTAGCTTTCTAATACCTTTTCTCATAATTTTACTGGTTTTATTGACTTCTTTGTGTGTGTCAAAGATCAGAAAGGTCACACAGCCACCTCCAGCTCATGGGAGACTGAGAAAGTGCATATTTAGCTTTTTCAGCCTCTATGGTAGAGGTCGCAAAAAAGGGACACTTGGGAGTGGGTATGTCTGCTATATAAGCCCTTTTCTTACTGCCCTGCTTTGCTTATTTCTACCCCTTTTTGTTTTTTTATTGACCCAACTCTTTCTCTCTAAAGAAACAAAAAAATTCTTTAAAGATTAAAATTGTTTACTGTTGTATATGACATATATACTGAGATTTTATGAAAGGATAATTACACCTTAAATTTTTAATTTGATTTGTATAAAAACAGTTATAAAAACTTATAAAAACAGTTCTACAGAGGGAATGTTTACATATGCTTTAGTATAATCTTTTGTTGCTCATTTCCTTTGTTGCTATTTTAAGACATGAATATTATGAGTCAGACAGGAGTAGTTGTTTATTTTACCTAAAATGAAGCTTTTAGTTACATAAGTTGTTCTCCAAATTTATAAAGCAGTAGAGTCATTTGATATAAGAGGTTGGAATAGTTTATTCTTCAATAAATACTTATTAAGTACCTCTTATACAAGAGGGTATTGGGACATGTAACAGTTGATAGGCAATGATATTTGAGAACAGACTGCCTATATTTGTGAAAATTAACATAATTATAAGCTTTAATAAACAACATAGGTAGGTGGGTGGATGGGCGGGTGGGCAGATAGATGGATAGATGAATAGAGACAGATGGACAGATACTTAGTAAAATATTAAGGTTATGATTAGTAGTGTTATTATGTTGTCAAAAGTATGTTAACTTTTAAAAATTAAGGTTGACAGGTTTGCAATGGAATTAGAACAGAGCCGGGATCTGAACAATACCATAGTGCACATCGACATGGATGCTTTCTATGCAGCTGTAGAAATGAGGGACAATCCAGAACTGAAAGATAAACCCATTGCTGTAGGATCATCAAGTATGTTGGTGAGTATGTAAAGACAGAATGGAAATTTCATAATATATTCAAGTAAGCCTTACTGGTTTGTGGAGGGGAAAGACTTTATTGAATTCTACTAGTTTACTGAGTATTTTTCTGATTGCTTTAATGTTCATTTACTAAATCCTTTCAACATCCCTTGAGGTACAAATTATTGTTTCCATTTGACAGATAAGAAAACAAACTTAGAGAGATGTTTAATAACTTTCCTAAAGTTCCAAACCTGGTAAATGGTAGAGTGGCATTGTACTTTCTGTTGCAAATTATATTTTTCTTAAGTAACTGTTCTAGTATTAAAAAAAAAAAAAATGAAGAAAAAGGAAAAATTATTCTAAAGCAGGGCTTTGCAAGCAATGGCCTGCACACCAAATCCAGCCTACTGCCTCTTTTATAAGTAAAATTGTACTGGAACAGTCACACCCATTCGTTTATTATTGTTATTGTTACACTAAAAGAACATAGTTGAGTACTTGCAACAGAGGTCATATGAACTGCAAAGCCTAAGAAATAACTATCTAGAAAAGGTTTGCCAACCTGTTCTAGAGTAACATATTTCATTAATGTAGTACTGAAATTAAGTATTTTCCCCATGACTTGGAATCTTTGCTTTTCTGATTACTGTGTTGCTCTTCCTTATTTCCACACTAACCATAGAAGGTGAAGATGACTAGCATAACCATATGTAGCTTAAAATGGGAATTAAAAGTAATAACTGGAATAGTTCGGTTTTGTATTTAAAAAATACATATATGGCGGGGGGGGTCAATCAGGGAAAATGGAGACATGTGTAAAACTTTAGACAATTAAACACACTCACATGTTTCTCAGTGGTTAGAGCTTCAGCAAGCACATCAAAGGTTTGCAAGTTCAATTCCTGGCCCCTAGATTGGGGTGCGTGCGGGAGGCAACTAATTTATGTATCTCTCTCACATCAGTGTTTCTCTCCCTCTCTCTTTCACTCTCTTCCCCCATTTATTTCCCTTCCTCCCCTCCTTCCTTCCACTCTCTCTAAAAATTAATGGAGCCTTGCTAGAGTGACTCAGTGATTGAGCATTGACCTATGAACCAGAAGGTCATGGTTCAATTCCCGGTCAGGGCACATGCCCAGGTTGCAGGCTCAGACCCTGGTGGGGGGCATGCAGAAGGTACTGATCAATGTTTCTCTCTTATCATTGATGTTTCTAACTTTCTCTCCTTCTTTCTTTCTCTATGAAATCAATAATTACATATTTTAAAAAATTAATGGAAGAACTATCCTCCTGTGAAATATATATACACATATATGAGAAATGCTTTCTAATGCCTTAAATAGCTAAATCCTGTTAACCTCTAATGCCTTATATAGCTGTAAACCTAATTCATACTAAGTTATTATTTTATTACAAAATTATAATCTGTTCATTATATCTGCTCCCATGAGTATGCAGGTAACTAACAGTCCTGGTCCCAAAACAGTGTTTATTGAAAGAAAACCCACCTTTCTCATAAATCAACTAATACTTAAAAAAATGTAATTTCATTAATATTATATAATGCTGTATTCTTATATATATAAATTATGTATGTATGCATACACATGCAAACATACACACACCATAGTCATGTTAAAGATAACCCCATTTGTTAAATTCACAAAATATTTACTTTCCTATAATTTTTTTTGTCTTTCTTTACACTAAGCAATCTATAGGGCTGCTGCTTCTACTTTCCTATAATTTTAAACTCCTAAAAATTGCTTGTTTTCAAATTCAAAATGATTATCTGTTATATTTAAACAAAGATTACTCCCCGTATATGCTGATCTAATAGATTTCTCTTCTAATGAGATTTGAAGGATAATTGTTTTTGTCCTGATAAACTCTTAAAAATATCTATACGGTCATGGTGGTGATGATACACTCTTTATTATTACAATTTGTTACAGTTAGAATGCCTTTTTAATGAATTGTGGGATTTTTGAAATGTTTAAGTTAGTACTCATAGTTAGAACTTAGACCCTGTAGTGGTTATTTATTGCTGTGTAGTGAACCCTTTCTGTACTTAGTGAACAACCATTTATTTGCTCATGATTCTGTAATTTGAGCAGATATGATAGGGATGGCTAATCTCTACCTGGGGTTGCCTAGAGCTATTAAGCTGGGGCTGGAAAATCCAAAATGGCTTCACTAACATGCCTGGCATGTCAACTGACTGAGATGGCTTCCAGCCATCCAGCTTTCCCCTGTCTTGGTGCATATTATTGTATTAGTTTATTTTTGCCCCTCACCCAAGGATATGTTTTTTAAATTGATTTTTAGAGAAAAGGGAAAGGGTGGAAGAGAGAGAAAGAGAGAGAGAGAGAGAGAGAGAGAGAGAGAGAGAGAGAGAGAGAGCGAGCGCGAGCGCGAGTGCGCCTGCAGCCTAGGTATGTGCCCCAACCCGGAATCAGACCTACAACCTTTAGGTGTATGGAATGGCATTCCATTCAACTGAGCCACCCAGCCAGGGCTCATGGTGTATTATTATTTAATATTCTAACCATGTAGATTGCCAGATCCCACAAAGGCAAAGGCAAAGGCTGCTGACTTCTTAATTCTGAGGCTTCATGACTCAGAATTTCACTCCCTCACATTCTTTTTGTTAAAGCATGTCCGAATGCAAGTCACTTGGCATGAGGAACTAGACCCCACCTTTGATAGGAGGAACTGTAAAATATTATAGCTATGATTTACAATCTACCACAAACCTACATTTAAAGGAAGTCATATCTAAAATTTTGTTTCTGCTCTACCATAGATCTAGTGTTTATATACACTGAGTGGCCAAGTTATTATGATCTCTGAACACATAATAATCTGGCCACTCAGTGTATATCCTATATAATAAAAGGCTAATAATGCAAATTGTCCCCTTGACCAGGAGTTTGACTAGCAGGCAGGCTGGCCAACTGCCCATGCCTCCTCCCCCTGGCCAGGCTGGCCTGACCCCACTCATGCACGAATTCAAACACCGGGCCTCTAACACACACACACACACACACACACACACACACACACACACAAATACACACACATACACACACTTGTGTGGCCAGATTATTATATGTTCAGAGATCATAATAGTGTGGCCACTCAGTGTAGATCCCATTAGATTTATTTATATTTAAAGCATTGTTTCGTCTTTTTAGTGCCATCTGCATTTTCTGTTTCAGAATACTGAACAAGGATTAGTATAGCTTTGAGTAGTACTATCAAGATTTTTCAGTGCCATTTAAAAAATAATTAATGGGAAATTGATGTTATTATTGTGAAATAATGATTGCATTTGATAGATTCTGTCTTGCATTTCTTTGACTTTTCACTTAATATTCCAAAAACAGATTTCATTTGTGATAAATTTGTTTGGAGTACTTTGATCTACCACATGGACAGAGACTGTTGTCAGATATCATCTATAAGATTTAGTAATAAATCTTTTTTACTTTCAATTTAATTTCTACCTCCTAATCAAAATGTTTTCACCAAAAAAAGGTATTTAAGCCTTAAGAAAAGAAATTAACTTTTAAAGTTCTTTTAAGCTTTTATCACTTTATTTTGGAGTCTTAATTTGACTAACCATATATATTAGATCTTTTGATTTTTGTTCTAGATGAAAAATTTCCAAAATCCCAAATAGATCAAATTCCAAATCTGTACCATTGTACCATCCTATTACTTTCTATATTATTACTTTCATGTAACATCTATACTATTGGTACTATAATATTACTTTATATTATACTTTACTATTGTTACTGGACAAGGGGGAGGGGCCACGGGCGGTTGGCCGGCTGCCCCTACCCCCTGGTCAAACTCCCGGTTGAACTCTCCATTGAATTCCTGGTTGAGGGGACAATGCATATTAGCCTTTTATTATTTAGGATCACCCACTATCATCCAGACTTTGATATATAGTATTATATTATGGGTATGCCTTAAAACCAATGAAGTTTAGATACTGGAAATATAAGGGAACCTTTTTATTAACAGTCTTGTTTATTACCTGGTGTCATATTATGATTATGGAGATAGCTGTGGGAGAAGATCATGATGTCATCATGCTATGATAGGATAAAATAAAAGCTTGATTTGAGACTGTGACCTATAAAAGACATATCCTTAAGTCTTGCCTAGTGGCTCAGTTGGTTGGAGCATCATCCTGTACACCGAAAGATTGCAGGTTCACTTTCTAGTCAGAGCACATACCTAGGTTTCAGGTTCAGTCCCCAAGTCAGGGTACGCATGGGAGGCAACTGATCCATATTTCTCTCTCACATCCATCTCTCTCTCTCTTTCCTCTTCCCTTCCATAAACATATCCTCGGGTGAGGATTTAAAAAAAGAAATGTCCTTGAATTGAAAATGCACATCAAGTAATGTGTTTCTTTTGAATGCATCGATCAATATGTTCATTTTAGGTTTGTATATTTATTCCCAAGTGGTCTATTTTCTTTCAGAGTACTTCAAATTACCACGCAAGGAGGTTTGGTGTTCGAGCAGCCATGCCAGGATTTATTGCTAAAAGGCTCTGCCCACAACTTATTATAGTGCCTCCAAACTTTGACAAATACCGCGCTGTGAGTAAAGAGGTAAGTCTAAAGTCTCACCCCTACTTATACATAGCCTTCACTGATTTCCTGTCATCTACAAAGTCAAATGCACGTGCCTTCACACTTCCGAATTTGGCCTTAGTTTATCCCTTTAGTCTCACTCCCTATCACTTCAATCTATATATTAAATAACTGAGCTGTATAGGGTATCCAGAATATACCCTTCTATTTCCCAATTCTTTCTTTTTCCATATATTTTTTAAAATCTGCTTAGAAAACTCTTTATGTCCCCAGAAAACTTTGAATTGCTTTAATAATAACCTAAATTAACTTTAGATTTTTTTTCTTAATGTGCATTGTACATTTTCTTCTGGAATCACCTGATATTTATAATGTACAAAATCTACTCAAGTCATTAATTTCAACTTCTTTACTGAATAATTTTTTATCAGTGTTTTTAAAACAGTAACAGAATTCACATATTTTGATTAGCTTTTAATAAGCTTAAAAATCATTCAAAGACTTTGTAAAAAAGAATTGTTTTAACTCCTACTGTAATTCAGTAAAACTCTGGACAGTGTGATAATGAAAACAAATTGTTTTTAGATATCTTTAGTTTAGTTATTTACATAAGTTAGAGAAATCTTTAAATTTAAGCAGGATTTAGCTAGTTTACTTCAGATAATAAATGTTTTTTTATGTGTAAATGAACAATAGCATAAATTTACTGACTATAAATACATTAATATTTATAGCTTGGTTTAAAAGTTCAAAGAAAAGCCATTTGTGTTTTATCCAAAAGAATGGGATAGCTTTAACTGTTGTCATAGAGTAGTACTTTATATTTACTGGCACATTCTATTCTTGTTCTTAAAGAAGTATCCTATGTAAAGGAAGTTAGTGAGTACTCAGTAGCCTCTAGGGAGTACTTCTCATTCAGAATAATCTTAGTTGGCTGCCAACTACAGACTTTCCAGAATTTCGTTTTCACTAGAAAGATTATTTGAGTACATCATGAAAATGGCTTTTTCTACAGGAACAGAGCTAATTAGGTGCTCTGAGCAAAACTTGGCCAAGTTTTATGTCACTATTTTCTAAAATTACCTTTCACTCAGCTGTTCATATTATATTAAGCTAAAAAGCTTTCATTTTATAAATCATCAAGAAAGGCTTTCTCATAATGCATCAGACAGCTTTTAAATACTAGATGGAACCATAACCATAATTTATTAGCAAGTATGTTTTTCTAACATATGATTTTGGCAACCATTTCCTCTAGGTTCAGCTAATACTTCAATGGTTAAAAAAATTGGTTTTATGAAATAAAGCTGTCTTCTATAAAAGGCATTTCTAAAATCATGTAGAGATTCAGACCTTTTTATTTATGTATTTCTTTTATCCCAAGATGCAACTCCAGACTATTGTCCATCATCTATTATAGTCACAGACACTACAGATTTTGTTGTCTTTTCCCATTATAAATCCTGATAATCAAGCCTTGTTTTTTTGAATGGATACATGCATTAATATGTATATTAAGTGGAGTTTTATGTGCATGTTATAATTAATTGAAATAGAACTTTGTAAAGTAACATAGTATCTTTATATAAGATTATCCTTTTAAAAATGTACCAAAACTATCATGAAAGGTGGGGGAGAGGAGGTTTTTATTGTTCCCATTACTATTTTTGATCAACTTCTTAAAATTTAATTGCTTAATGGTTTTTTTCCTGTGCCTACCAGAATGATATATTGAAATTTATTTGAATCACTTACTATTTCTAGATACAGGTGGCTAAACAGAGATTGTATCAAATAAAGCTATTTCATGGCCTTCTGCCTTCATGGTCTATTTTAATAAGAAAGAGAATTTGGACAAATGTGCACTGGCGGTAAATTATTCATTCCCTAAATCCATGAGCTATTGATTGTAGGATCTTTACTAAAGTTGCAAAGTAAGAATATTAATTTTTCTTATCAGCTGTATGTGACAGATTTTGCTATGGCTGCAAAACTTAAACCATTTTGTTCCTTTTGAAGGTTAAGGAAATACTTGCTGATTATGATCCCAATTTTATGGCCATGAGTCTTGATGAAGCCTACTTGAATATAACAAAGCACTTACAGGAAAGACAAAATTGGCCTGAGGACAAAAGAAGGTGTTTCATCAAAACAGGGCACTCTCTAGAAAATGGTAAGTAACTTATTACAAGAATCAAACAAAAAACCCTTTGTATTTGAATTAACCCAGTTAACTTATTAGCATGCATAGGTTAAAGGACTAGCTATACATTTATTATTAGAAATGAAAACTCAGAAATAAAACATACCGGTGGTTTTCTGAGTTAAATGTGTGGAATGTTGCCCTAGCTGGCTAGCTTAGTTAGTTAGAGCATGGTCCCAATACGCCAAGGTTGCAGGGTCCATCTCCAGTCAGGGCACATACAAGAAGCAACCAAATGAATACCTAAATAAGTGGAACAACAAATCAGTATTTCTTCTCTCTCCCTCCCTCTCCAAAATCAATAAATAAAAATTTTAAAAAATATGCATGTAATGTCACTCATTCACCAAATAAGACTGCTAAATCTCTAGACTTTAAAAGAGTATGCAGAGTCCCTGAATAAAGTGATTTTATAGCAGTTCTTTTACTAAAATGTAATTAATAAGGGGTTGGGATACATTGAATCTGAAGAGCTTGTCTATTTAAGGTGGCCTTTTGTTGTAATTGCTAAATGGAAAATAGAATGTGATGAATCAGAAGTTTCATGATCCAAAGCATTCTTTTAAAAAGGCCCCTTTGCAGAAACTGGTTTGGCTCAGTGGATAGAGCGTCGGTCTGTGGACTGAAAGGTCCCAGGTTCAATTCTGGTCAAGGGCATGTACATGGGTTGCAGGTTCATCCCCAGCAGGGAGTGTGCAGGAGGCAGCTGGTCAATGTTTCTCTCTCATTAATGTTTCTAACTCTCTATCCCTCTTCCTTCCTCTCTATGGAAAATCAATAAAATATATTAAAAAAAAAAAAAAAACTTTTAAAAGGCCCCTTCATTACCTATCCAAAGTGATAACATGCAGATATTATGTATGCTGCTTTCAACCCTCTGTCAAAGGTATGATTATTTCAAATGTCCAAGCTGTTCTGGATTACTGAACAAAGTTCATCTGATGAAAGGGTAGAAACAGAGAAGGTTTGCTCACAACCCACAGCTATATTCCCTGTGCACAACTCATTGATTGCTTTGAATGGAGAGGGGAGAATGCATAGGCAGTGGTGGGTAAACCTGTTTGTAATTTTCCCTGAAGCAAAAATGGTGAATTCTCAATGACATACAATTATAACTCTCACATCGTTTGGGTCTCAAATCATTGAAGCAAGTTTAATGTAGACATCAAATCACAGTTTCATTACCTTCTTTATAGCTCTAAGGGGTAAGTCTCTTTAATAAAAACATTAAATAATAAATAAGCATAATTTCTGGATACAGAGGCTTGAAGCAAAACTTATTTTTTTTCCTTGCTTTAACTTTATTGTTTGGGGAAGTGGCACAAAAAGCCTGATGCCACTTTGCTTCAAATCTCACTTTGTTAGTTCCTTACTTTTCACAAAGCATCCCCTCCTATAACAATTACTTTGCTCTGGCTGGTTTGGCTCAGTGAATAGTGCGTCGTCCTGCGGGCTGAAGGGTCCCAGGTTCAATTCTGGTCAAGGGCACATACCTTGGTTGCAGGAGGCAGCTGATCGATGTTTCTAACTCTCTATTCCTCTCCCTGCCTCTCTGTAAAAAAATCAATAAAATATATTTAAAAACAAAAGACAAAGAAAACCCCAATTACTTTCATGTATATTTTTTATAAGTTACATTGGGACTAAAGTAAATGTTTTTATTCTCTCCTGATGTTCTTTTTATTTATTATAGCATGTCCAAACTCACAATGAGAATATAAATTTTTAATATCTGTTGCTTTTAACATACTTAGGTACTTCATGTGTTTCATACTCTTAAGCAATTTAAATAGTTCTGTTCGTTTTGGTCATATATAAATCCCTGTGGGCTGGATTTTCAGGCATATATGACTTTACATTACGCCATGGGAGCTGTCAATAGTGAGCTGGAGCCATGCATGTGATTGATATATCTTCCTCTCAAGTCTAAGACAGTTTTTTGCTGTCTGCCCCTTTCCTAAAAGATGTGATCTTTAAAAAAGTATTGCTAACTACTACGTGTATATACAAATGAAATAATCATTATGATTTTATGTTTATTCTGCCTTATAAATCCAAATAGTGACTGCCAAGGAATGCGTGAAACGGAAATACTGTGCATTTTTAGCACTTGCCATCCAAATGGGTGCTTTAATCCTAATGTTTCAGATTAAAGAAACCTTAGTTTTGTACTCTCATCACCTCAGTTATGGGGATCATAAAGATATTTCTTTCAGAAAGCAAATAAGAAACCACTTCAGTATTTAGTTGCTCATCCAGGCCTCGCAGAGAATTAGACAGACTTAAAAGGTAACCATGCTATTCAGCAGCAGCTCTAACAACCTGAAGGCACCTGCTTTGCTTCCTACTGTAGTCCTCGATCAGAGTGACTCACCCAAGGGCAGGGTGAGAGAGCCATGAGAAAAATAAACGTGGCTTAAGGAACTGCAGAAGGGGCGTATGAACGTGACAGGTACCTTCCTGGAGCTGAGGTTTTTCTGCTCTCTTTACCTTGACTTCTACCCATCCAGATGGGGAAAGAGAGTCTAGGTAAATACCATTCCACCTGTGCCACAGTCTTAATCCCCTCTGAATTGCTTTGCAATTTAAAACCAGAACATGGGAAATGAAAAGAACAGAAGCACACAATAACAGCTAATGTAAGTTTGAAAGTAAGGCTTATTTTGTAGATACCCTGGGAATTCAGCTTTGGAAAACATCTGTCTGTAACTTAATTCATATATTATACTTTAAAATTTGAAATGAATCAGGTGGTGTCATATTATTTATATTTTCTTAGGAAATCTTCCTAAAAGGCCAAGTTTATTTTTAAAGTAATATGCATTCATGTGTCTTGAAAAACTGAAATTTAATTTTTGCTTCAGCATTTACCTTAATTTGGAAAACATTTATATCTTATAAAATTATGAAATGGGATTTGAAAGCTCTGTTATTAATCTTAGATGTTATAAGTATATTTAAACTGCATTTCTCCTCCATTAAGCCTAGAAAGTAAAATCTTTAATGGATTTGTTCATAAGGACATTTTTAGACTAGTATAGATTTAAGTATATTTTACAGTCCATTTACAAAAAATTCAAATTAAATGAGGTAATAACCAGAATATCTTTACTTTTTAATAATTTTAGTTTACAGCCTATCCTATATACTAAAGAGCTAATATTCAACCTCTAATTAGGCCAGTTTGTGGAACGACCTTCCAGAACCAACAATGGGCGGGAGGTGGGGCAAGGCAGCTAGGGCTGCGAGGGCAGGCTCCCTTGCACAATTTCGTTTATTAGTTTATTATAATAATAAACTAATAATAGTAGTTTATTATTATCTAGTTGATAGTAATAAAGGCTTCTTTCCCTTAACTTTGGACAATGGTTAATCTGATCAAACATTAAGAATTTGATTATTTTCATGAATATACGTATGCAGATCTATAGACTACAAATAAAAAGTAAAACACCAGAAGTAGTTTATATTTATTTCAAATATGCCTTTAGTAAAAATAATACTTTGTAAACAGGCATGTCAAAATTAAAATAATCACTTGAAGAAAATTCAAATTATGTCAACATTGGAAATGTTTCTTTCATGAATGAAGAAAATTTAAGTTTATCTTTCTTCTAAAAACAAAACTTATTTTTCAGAAGTTTATTCTAGATTGCTTAATGCCTTTTGCCCTGATTACTAAATCCTAATTTAAGAAAACTCTTTCCCCACTAGAGATGAGTAAACAACAACAAAAAGAAACTTTAATTTTTAAAGAAAAAAGTAATATAAATCTAAACCTAATTCTGGGTTTCAATAAACTTAGGTATAAAAATCAGTGAGTTTTACTTAAGGTATTTTCTTTTAAAATGTATACTATGGAAATGGGAAATATATTCCTTTTAAGAAACACTTATAATCATTGTATTCTTTTTAAACTGTTATAAAATATAAATGATGACATTTCTAATCTTGGTTCTTAGAAACAAAACTAAACTAGATTTATTTTGTTTTAAGAAAGAATGTAACGAAACCTGATATATGAAGTATATGCTTCTTAAAATGAAGATGAATTACTGCTTCTATTTATAATTTAGATAAACCACGAAAGGAAATTAATAAACTGAGTGAGCATGAACGATCCATCTCCCCACTACTTTTTGAAGACAGTCCTCCTGATTTGCAGTCTCCAGGAAATACTTCCCAAGTGAACAGTGAAGAACAAAATAATCCTCAAATACTTCAGAATTCAGTTGTTTTTGGAACATCAGCCGAGGAAGTGGTAAAGGAAATTCGCTTCAGAATTGAGCAAAAAACAACACTGACAGCCAGTGCAGGTACTTAAACAGGATATTGATGGCTACAATAGTTTTAATTTTCAGACTGGCTAATTCAAATGTAATACTAGTAATTTCTCGTTGTATAGAGTAACATTTTATTTATCCATCTTTTGGTTCCTCTTCTAACAATTTAACCTATCTAGAATGCCTAGAACCTATAGGTAAATTTGAACTATGCCAAAAAGCCTTTGAGCACAAAGAAAAAATATTACATATGTCATGTAACTTTCCCGTTTTATAATATATTTAAGATAAATATATTTTAGTTGTTTTTGGACATAATACTTTTTTAGTTTTCTCTTAGAAGACTGCATTTCTTCCAAGGTTACAGTGCAGGAGAGATCCCATATGACCACAGGTAGTGGACGGAAGAATCACCAACTCATAACATAATAATCTAGAACCATTGAGTGAAGAGAAAAAGAGCTTTACATAGGTCAATAGCACATAGGGTAACACCACTTAGCATAGAGACTGATATTTGTCATAATATGGCAGAAGGCAGCCGATCAGTGATTCTCATCATTGATGTTCCTATCTCTCTCCCTTCCTCTCTGAAATTAAAAAAAAAAAAAAAAAGTAGTTTACTCTGTGAGTAACACAAAAAGAATGCACACATTTCATTATCATTTTAAATATACTACAACCCAGAATCTTTGATTTTTTTTTTTATGTGGATAATGTATACAAAAGACCTTTTTAAAAAATAAACATACAGCTGAAACCGGTTTAGCTTAGTGGATAGAGCATCAGCCTGCAGACTGAAAGGTCCCAGGTTCAATTCCGATCAAGGGCCTGTACATTGGTTGCGGGCACATCCCCAGTGGAGGGTGTGCAAGAGGCAGCTGGTCGATGTTTCTCTCTCATCGATGTTTCTAGCTCTCTATCCCTCTCCCTTCCTCTCTATAAAAAAAAATCAATAAAATATATATTAAAAAAAAAAGAAGAAACATACATCCTAACTTATATTCTGGATCATCAATATAATATAGCCCTGTGTTTCTACCAGTAAGTAAATTAACAATATTTCAGAAATTACTCTTAGACTTTAAAATACCATGGAGATTTAAATAGCCCTCATTTCACCCTCGCTGGTTTGGCTCAGTGGATAAAGCATTGGCAGACTGAAGGGTCCCAGGTTTGATTCTGGTTAAGGGCACATGCCTGAGTGGTGGGCTTGATCCCCAGTAGAGGGTGTGCAAGAGGCAGCCGATCAATGATTCTCCCTCATCGTTGATGTTTCTGTCTCTCTATCCCTCTCCCTTCCTCTCCAAAACCAATAAAAAATTAAAATAAATAAATAAATAAATAGCCCTCATTTCTGCTGTAAAAATAACTAACACATTTATTTTTCCTAAAAATCATACGAAGCCCTGGGGAGATAGATAATCACTATTATTTATATTATTTATATATTTATTTACTTATTGAACAAGACATATAATTATTATTTTTTTGCTAATATCTGGGTATTCTTTTTCAAACAGATACCCTTTTTTAAATTATTGAATTTATTGGGATGACATTGGTTAATAAATTATATTATAAAGGTTTCAAGTGTACAGTTCTATAATGCATCATCTGTATATTGTGTGTTCATCACTCAGTCAAGTCTCTTTCCGTCACCATTTATCTCCCCTTTACTCTCTTCTACTTCCCTCTACTGTTGCCTCTGACAATGAGTTGTTTTGTTTTGGTTTGTTTTTTGCTTAATCCCTTCACCATTTTTATCCACTATTGTGTTTAAAATAGCATTTCACATAATTTGAGATGCTTTGCACTTAACATTATTATTTTTTTATATTGTCATCACATATTTTAATACCGTATATATCAACTTCTTTGAGTCATAAGAGTGTTCTTCTTTTAAGGCATTGCCCCAAACACAATGTTAGCAAAAGTATGCAGTGATAAGAATAAACCAAATGGACAATACCAGATTCTCCCCAGAAGGCAAGCTGTGATGGACTTCATCAAGGACTTACCCATTAGAAAGGTGAGATTTTTATATAAAATTTATCATCTCTATCTGTCTCTCTCTAAAATTTATATATATATGTACTCTCTGAGTTCTAAAGAGATACTATTGAGGATGGTAATAATTGTTGGTTGCAAGGTTTTAAAACAGAAGGTAACAAGAACTATACTGGATGATTAAATTTGGATTTGAAGAAATCTTTCTATTAAACCCTTAAATTGAGGTTTAGGATCTTGTTTGCTGGAAAGTTTAAAGGAAGTAATAGATGACAGACTTTTCAGTGTACCCTTGCCAAGGAGAAGAAAAATAAAAGGAATACTGGTAAGAATCCTTTCATCTGTAACTGATATACAATCTTAGTTCTAAAGTACAGATTGCTTCCTGATTAATAGGTATGATACTTGAAAAAGATTCAGAATTTTAATTGTTTTGACAAAAACAAAACAAAACAAAACAAAAAACAATCTCACAAAACACTTTACCATCTTTAAAAATGGCAAAATGATCCCATAGGAGTTATAGAAAGGAGGCTACATTTTATTTTTAAAGTTTCTGTATTTTTCTGCATATGTATGCTTTGTAAACAATCATTGCATATACTTTTTTGATGTTCTAGGAGTCGCTTTTCTCACGATATAATGTAAATGAGTAAATTTAAATAAATCATTTCTCAATGCTTAGAAGAAAGGCTTTATCAAAATATCAAAATATATAATGTATAATGATTACTGAATAGATTAGTATGTAAGGTGTAGCTATAAAGCAGTATTTTCCAATCTGGTTTTTAAGGTATGAGTAAGTATTCTATAAAAAAGACTCTAGGGTCAAATAACTATGAAATCTACCACCTTTATGAGTCACAAGGATACTAGAATATTAAAGATTCATAAGTCTTGCGGTGAAAAATTCAACTTAAATTTGTTTATCCCACCACGCCCCAAATTTGTCTGACCACAGAACTCCTTATTTTTTATTTTATTTATTTATTTATTTATTTATTTATTTATTTATTTATTTTTGTTAATCCTCCCCCAAGTATATTTTTACATTGATTTTCCGAAAGAGTGGAATGGAGGGGGTGTGACAGAGAGAGAGAGAAAAATGGATATGAGAGAGACACATGGATTGGTTGCCTCCCGCATGCACCCTGGCCAGGGCTGGGGAGCAAACCTGCAACCAAGATACATACGTGCCTGTGACTGGAATTGAACCTGCAACCCTTCATTCCGAGGGCTGATGCTCTATCCACTGAACCGAATCCACCAGGGCAGAACTCTTTATTTTAATGCTTTTACATTTTTCATGGAATTTTAAATTTAAGTTTTCAATGGAACACTAGTTTAAAGAAATGTGGCCAATAGAAATTAAGGCAGTTTTCTTATGAAGATAGTTATATTATTGATGTTTTTAATGATTATAAAGGGTATAATGAGATTATAATACCAGTTCTTGCTTTAATTTAAAAATGTATTAATAATATATATTGATTCTCTTCTAGGTTTCTGGAATAGGAAAAGTTACAGAGAAAATGCTAAAGGCCCTAGGAATTACTACTTGTACCGAACTCTACCAACAGAGGGCATTACTTTCTCTTCTTTTCTCTGAATCATCTTGGCATTATTTCCTTCATATTTCCATGGGTCTAGGTTCAACACACCTGACAAGGTACCATATGTATATTCATTCTGTTTTCTTGATTTCTTTCCCTTTCTTTTTTTTTTTTTTTTTACTTAATTTTTATTGTTAACACTATTACAGATGTCTCCATTTTCTCCCTTTGTCAACTTCCACCCAGCCTCCTTCCTTCCCTTCCCCCTGGCATAGCCACAGCTGTTGTATATGTCTGTGGGATAACAATTTTAACCGTTGAAGTGGAGCCTATAAGGATAACATGTTTTAAAATTATTTTAGACTGGTTTAATTTAGAATTTAATTTTAAAATTAGAGTCCGATGACTGGATGTGGGAGAAAAGGAAAAGATGAATAAAGAATCACTTCTAGGTTGTTGGCTACAGGAATTGGATAGATGAACAAGATAGGTACTTTCTTTGCTACCTTGTGCTTTTTTAGAACATAAGAATACTGGGACCTTGGTGGTCAGATTTTTAAGAAAAGCAAGATGGTTCATATTCCAGAGCTCACCTTTTAAGCAAGGAAATTTAATGATTTTTTTTTTTTTTGCAAACCTTCAAACTCTTTCTCTCTATATATATATCCCAAAAACAGACACTTTGAATGATTATAAAGGCAGTGTTTATTAAAATACACTTCAGCCCTAGCTGATCTCAGTGGATAGAGCATTGATCTGTGGACTAAAGGGTCTCAGGTTGGATTCCAGTCAAGAGCACATGCCCAGGTTTTGAGCTCAATCCCCAATGGGGGGCTGTGCAGGAGGCAGCCGATTAATGACTCTCTCTCATCATTGATGCTTCTATCTTTCTCTCCCTCTCTGAAATTAATAAAAATATATTTTTAAAAAATACATTTTCGCCTGGCCAGTGTGGCTCAGTAGTTGAGTGTCAACCTATGAACCAGGAAGTCACATTTCACTTCCTGGTCAGGGCACTTACCCTCATTGCAGGCTTGATCCCTAGTAGGGGGCATGTAAGAGGCAGCTGATCAATGATTCTCTCTCATCATTGATGTTTCTCTCCCTCTCCCTTCCTCTCTGAAATCAATAAAGACATTTAAAAAATAATTTAAAAATATATTTCATTTTCAAAATTGAGCTATCGGCTGTTAAAGTGTGTATATGTTTTTGGGGGACACTTGCTGTGTTCTCAATGGAAAAATGATTCATTCAGTACTGAGTACTTACTTTGTATCAGGCACTGTTCTTGGTGCTGTGGATAATAGCAGTACACAAGAGAAAGTCCTGCCCTCGTGGAGTTTATAAACTAGTGTGGGAGATGTAAAGTAACCCCGAAAAGCAAATAAAGGAAGGGAGGCAGAGTGAGGGCATAAAATGACTTGGGCTGGGGGGTGGTAAGAGTTGGGTTGGCTGCAGTCATCTAGAGTCAGAGACCTCAAGGGGCCAGTCATATGAAGATCTAGAAGAGGAACAGCTAGCAGTGAGGCCTTGTGTTTTCTTTCTTGTCATTCTTTCAACTAGGTCTTAAAAAGAAGTATCCTAGAGCTAGAAGTGTATTCTTTTGCTGGGGTAGTAAAAAAAGGGAATTAAAAAAAAAAAAGAATGGAAATTGACACTATTATTTTTACAGTTTTGTCATCATCTTGTCAGCCTGCTCTCAAAATAACTCCTTTCTATTCTTAGACTCAGACTAAAGGAGAACAAGAAGATTACTGAAGGGACATACAAAATAAGTTTTATTAAGCAATTAAATCTGCTGAATTTTACAGAGATTGTCAAACCTGTGGTATTGCTTTTCTTAACTCTTTGTGCTTCTCAATTATTTGAGTCCACAGTTAGTTGACATTGATTTAGAGTGGATATAATGAAAAATAAGAAAAAGACAGTACTATAAATAATATAGTATTTTTAAGATAATGGGAAATAAAACTGTCTCTTTTAATCCAAAAATTAACCTCTTTTTATTTCCGTATTTCTTGAACACAGTAAGAGTTCTTGATAAAAACATAGCATATATTAACCTGGGGTGTGTGTATACACACACAAACACACACACACACACACACACACACACACACACACACACAGGCTAAGTGTCCATCCATCTGACTGGTAGCTATGATGCATACTGACCACCAGGGGGCAGATGCTCAATGCAGTAGCTGCCATGATGCGCATTGGCCATTTAAAAATAAATGGCACTACAGACCTGGCGCCCACAAAGCAATACGCAGCTTCCCTCAAGTGGGATAAGAGCTGATGCTGCCAAGACCCTGTGGCGCAAACTGCAAGCTATTACACTACCGGCTACTATTGGTTTTTGTAAGTTATGGTTTTGATATTTAGAAATAATTTATATTAACCTATTTTAAAATTTGTTCTTTTCAATTGATACAGACTTGATCCATGCCATGTGTAATCGTATTAACATCTTATCTATCTTCATTATTTGGGTGATAGTTTTATTTTTAAATTTAAAAAACTCACTTTTTCATGATGTATAAATTTGATACATTAAATCTTCTTGTTTGATTTAAAGGAACTCAGTCTTTGAGAAAACAAATAAAAACTTTTTCTTCTTTATTCAAGGGATGGAGAGAGGAAAAGCATGAGTGTTGAGAGGTAATATTTTGATTATTGTTCATAATTTATGCTATTTTAAACAAATTTTTAATTCTTAGGAAAGTATCACTGAAATTTAAAAATCTATTTTCAAACCTCTGAACTGTTCTCAGAATGTCACACTCCTTAAGAAAATGTCCCAGTACACACTGCTATATTATCTTCACTTGCTGTTCTCTCAGTGGGGAAAAAAAAAAAAGTACACTGCAGTTATTTTTTTTAATGTGTTTTTTTTTTATTTTATTAAAAACAACATTAGTGAAAACCAAATATTTTAGGATTCCAAATCTTAATTTCTAGACTTTATAAGAAAAATTACACTGAGAGGCTATTTGGTAAATTTAAGACATGACAATGGAAATTCTTCCTAAAATTCTTCAAATATTGGTAAATGAACAGAGGCATCAAATAATAAGATATTAATGAAAGAGAGTTTAGAAATTATCTATTTCATTGGTTTACAATATTGTTCAGAAGTCACATGAAATCTTGATGGCAACTTTATTGTTTTGGGAAATAAGTCATTGTTTGAAAAGTCCCTCAATTTTCTCCCAAAGCACCAAAGTTCCACTGAGACATTTAAGAACCACTGACCTCATACAGAGTTATATTAATACTAGTTATATTAATGACTGATAAAAATTGCTCTGAGGCTTAGCTTTACATTAAAGCAATTAAAGGAAAAAAGGGGAAAAAGCATCCAAGAGTGAGATAGTATTGTCCTATTTAATGAATTATCACCATCTGTTGGTGGTTTTAATCATCTTTAAAAAAATTATAGAGAGCCCTAGCTTATTTGCTTAGTGGATAGAGCAGCCTGCAGACTGAAAGGTCCTGGGTTCATTTCTGGTCATGGGCACATGCCCAGGTTGCCAGTTTGATCCTGAATAGGGGGCATGCACAAGGCAGCCAATCAGTGATTTTCTCTCATCATTGATGTTTCCATCTCTCTCTCCCTTTCTCTCTGAAATCAATAAAAATATATATTTTTAAAAAATATATTTTATTGATTTTTTACAGAGAGGAAGGGAGAAGGATAGAGAGTTAGAAACATTGATGAGAGAGAAATATTGATCAGCTGCCTCCTGCATACCTCCTACTGGGGATCTGCCCACAACCAAGGTACATGCCCTTGACCGGAATCAAACCTGAGACCTTTCAGTCCGCAGGCTGATGGATGCTCTACCCACCGAGCCAAGCCAGTTAGGGCAATAAAAATATTTTTTAAAAAATTATAGAGAGAGCAAAAGTATAAAAGTACACTTTTGCTGCCCCAGCTACTGGCTCAGTTGGTTGGAGCATTATCCCATTAATCAAAAGATTGTGAATTTGATTCCTGTTCAGAGCACATATCTAAGTTGTGGGTTCCATCCCTGGTCTGGGCACATACAGGAGGCAACCAATTCAACCCATCCATGTTCCCCTTCTCTCCTTCTTCCCCTCCCCTTTTTCCTCCAAATCAAGAAAAACATATCCTTGGGTGAAGATTAAAAATAAAAAATATACCTTTGCTAATCAGTTTGACTATCTAAATAATCTTCAATCATTAAGTAGATCTTAAATGCTTTTCACTTAATTATATCTTAATTCATCTGAAAACGTTATTCTATACTGCAGAAAATATAACTAAATTATTCTGAATTGTACTGTACTTTGTGCACTAAAAATCATTCTTATCTTTCTAGGACATTCAGTGAGATAAGTAAAGTAGAGGAACAGTACAAGTTGTGCCAAGAACTTTGCAGTGAACTTGCTCAAGATCTGCAGAAAGAAGGACTTAAGGTACTTTATTTTAGTGTAGTGTTCTTAGTTTTATTTTTATTTTTTTTTTTTTATTTTTTTTTTTTTACATATTTTATTGATTTTTTTTTTTTACCCCCCTCCCTCCCTCCCACCCATCCCCTCCCTCCCCAGAGTTTTATGAACATTGGTTGTACTTATATGCATGTATACAAGTCCTTCGTTTGATCAATTATTTCCCCCAGATCTTCCTCCCCTCCCCACTGTAATTTGACAGTCTGCCTGTTGCTTTACTTTCTCTATCTCTGTCTCTTGGTTCATCAGTTCATAAAGAGCTTTATTGTCCACCAATGAGTGAGGTCATGTGGTATTTCTCTTTCATTGATTGGCTTATTTCACTCAGCATGATGTTCTCCAATTCCATCCAGGTTGCTGCAAATGATGAGAATTCCTTCTTTTTTATGGCAGCATAGTATTCCATTGTGTAGATGTACCAAAGTTTTTGGATCCAATCATCTGCTGACGGACACCTAGGCTGTTTCCAAATTCTGGCTATTGTAGATTGTGCTGCTATGAACATAGGGGTGCAAATATCCTTTCTGATTGGTGTTTCTAGTTTCTTGGGGTATATTCCTAGAAGTGGGATTACTGGGTCAAATGGGAGTTCCATTTTCAGTTTTTTGAGGAAACTCCACACTGTTCTCCACAGTGGTTGCACCAGTCTGCATTCCCACCAGCAGTGCACGAGGGTTCCTTTTTCTCCACAACCTCGCCAACACTTGTTGTTTGTTGATTTGTTGATGTTGGCCATTCTGACAGGTGTGAGATGGTACCGCATTGTTGTTTTGATTTGCATCTCTCGGACAATTAGTGACTTTGAGCATGTTTTCATGTGCCTTTTGGCCTTCCTTCTGTCTTCTTTTGAAAATATTCTATTTAGGTCCATTGCCCATTTTTTAATTGGATCAATCATCTTCCTTTTATTTATTTGTATAAGCTGTCTGTAGATGTTGGAGATTAAACCTTTATCAGTGGTATTATTTGCAAATATGTTCTCCCATACTGTGGGCTTTCTTGTTGTTTTGTTGATGGTTTCTTTTGCTGTAAGAAAGCTTTTTATTTTGATGTAGTCCCATTTGTTTATTTTCTCTTTAGCTTCCATTGCCCTAGGGGCAGTATCAGTGAAGAAGTTCTTTTGGCATACGTCGGAGATTTTGCTGCCTGTGGATGTTTCTAGTATTTTTATGGTTTCCCGCCTGATGTTTAAGTCCTGTATCCATTTTGAGTTTATTTTTGTGAATGGTGTAAGTTGGTGATCTAGTTTCATTCTTTTGCATGTGTCTGTCCAATTTTCCCAACACCATTTATTGAAGAGACTGTCTTGACTCCATTGTATATTCGTGCCTCCTTTGTCAAATATTAATTGAGCATAGTGATTTGGGTTGATATCTGGGTTCTCGATTCGATTCCATTGATCTATATGTCTGTTTTTGTGCCAGTACCAGGCTGTTTTGAGAACAGTGGCTTTGTAATATAGTTTGAAGTCTGGTATTGAGATCCCTCCTACTTTACTCTTCTTTCTCAGGATTGCTGTGGCTATTCGGGGTCTTTTATTGTTCCAAATGAACTTTTGGAGAGTTCTTTCTAGGTCAGTGAAATATGTCGTTGGTATTTTAATGGGGAGTGCATTGAACTTATAGATTGCTTTAGGAAGTATGGACATTTTGATGATGTTGATTCTACCAATCCATGAACATGGTATGTTCTTCCATCTCCTTACATCTTCCTCTATCTCTTTTTTCAGTGTCGTGTAGTTTTCTGCATATAGGTCCTTTACTTCCTTAGTTAAATTTATTCCTAGGTATCTTAATTTTTTTGGTGCGATGGTAAATGGAATTGTTTTTTTAGCCTCTGTTTCTGTAGTTTCGCTGTTGGTGTATAAAAATGCCATGGATTTCTTGGCATTAATTTTGTATCCTGCTACGTTGCCAAATTCATTTATTAAGTCAATTAGTTTTTTAATGGAGTCTTTTGGGTTTTTTATGTACAATATCATGTCATCTGCAAATAAGGATAACTTTACTTCTTCTTTTCCAATTTGGATGCCTTTTATTTCCTCCTCTTGTCTAATTGCAATGGCTAGTACTTCCAGAACTATGTCAAACAGGAGTGGCGAGAGTGGGCATCCCTGTCTTGTTCCTGTTCTTAGAGGGAATGGTTTTAGTTTCTGTCCATTGAGTATAATGTTGGCTTGGGTTTATCATATATAGCTTTTATTATGTTGAGGTATGATCCTTGTACTCCCACCTTGTTAAGAGTTTTTATCAGGAAGGGGTGTTGGATTTTATCAAATGCTTTTTCTGCGTCAAGTGATATGACTATATGATTTTTATCTTTCAATTTGTTTATGTGATGTATCACGTTTATTGATTTGCGGATATTGTACCATCCTTGCATTCCTGGAATAAATCCTGCTTGGTCATGGTGTATGATCTTTGTGATGTTCTTCTGGAGTCGATTTGCTAGAATTTTGTTGAGGATTTTGGCATCTATGTTCATGAGGGATATTGGCCTGTAATTCTCTTTCATTGAGTTGTCTTTGTCTGGTTTTGGTATTAGGGTGATGCTGGCTTCATAGAAGGAATTTGGAAGTATTCCTTCCTCTTGGATTTTTTGGAGTAATCTGAGGAGGATGGGTTTTAGTTCTTCCTTGAATGTTTGATAGAACTCTCCTGTGAAGCCATCTGGCCCTGGGCTTTTGTTTGCTGGAAGATTTTTGATAACTGTTTCAATTTCTTCCCACGTCACTGGTCTATTGAGATTTTTAGATTCTTCCTGATTGAGTTTTGGCAGTTTGTATTTTTCTAGGAATATGTCCATTTCCTCCAGGTTGTTCAATTTGTTGGAATAGAGTTGTTCGTAGTATTTTGTAACAATCTGTTGTATTTCGGTTGGGTCTGTTGTTATTTCACCTCTTTCATTTCTGATTTTGTTTATTTGGGTCCTCTCTCTTTGTTTCTTGGTTAGCCTGGCTAGAGGTCCATCTATCTTGTTTATCCTTTCAAAGAACCAGCTCTTGGTTTTGTTGATCTTATGTATTGTTTTTTTGGTCTCTATGTCGTTTATCTGTGCTCTGATTTTTGTTATTTCCTTTCTTCTGCTTACACTGGGTTTTTCTTGTTGCTCTTTTTCTAACTCTTTGAGTTGTAGAGTTAGATCATTTGTTAGCCTTTTTTCTAGTTTTTTGCAATAGGCTTGTAAGGATATGAACTTCCCTCTCAAAACTGCTTTTGCTGTATCCCATAGATTTTGGATTGTTGTGTTTTCATTGTCATTTGTTGCCAGGATGTTTTTAATTTCTTCCTTGATTTCTCTGGTAACCCAGTCCTTGTTTAATAGCATGTTGTTTAGTCTCCATGTGTTTGATTTCTTTGGATTATTTTTATTGTAGTTAATTTCCAGTTTTATGCCATTATGATCTGAGAAGATGCTTGATATGATTTTTATCTTCTTGAATTTGAAGAGACTTTGCCTATGTCCCAAAATGTGGTCTATCTTTGAGAATGTCCCATGTGCACTTGAGAAGAATGTATATTCTGTGGCTTTGGGGTGGAATGTTCTGAAGATGTCAATTAATTCCATCTGGTCTAGTGAGTCATTTAGGATTGATATTTCTTTGCTGATTTTTTGTTTAGATGATTTGTCGAAGGGTGACAGTGGGGTATTAAAATCTCCTACTATGATTGTATTGCTATGAATTTCTCCCTTAATGTCCTCCAGCAGTTTTTTTATGTATTTGGGTGCTCCTATATTGGGTGCATATATATTTACCAGGGTTATTTCTTCTTGTTGGATTGTTCCCTTTAGTATTATGAAGTGGCCTTCATTATCTCTTGTTATGTCCTTCACTCTGAGATCTAATTTGTCAGATATAAGTATTGCTACCCCAGCTTTTTTTTCATTTCCATTTGCCTGGAAAACTTTTTTCCATCCCTTCACCCTCAGTCTGTGTGCATCTTTTTTTCTGAGGTGGGTTTCTTGTAGACAACAGATGTATGGGTCTTGTTTTCTTATCCAATCTGACACCCTATGTCTTTTGATTGGAGCATTTAATCCATTTACATTTAAGGTTATTATTGATAGGTACTCATTTGACGCCATTTTTATTTTATACCCCTGTTCCTTCTTCACTTCCTATTTCTTTATATTTACAGTAAACCCTTTAGCATTTCTTGCATTGCTGGTTTGGTGGAGATAAATTCCTTCAGTCTTTTTTTGTCTGTGAAGCTCCTGATTTCTCCTTCAATTTTGATTGATAGCCTTGCTGGGTACAGTATTCTTGGATTCAGACCCTTCCTTTGCATGATTTTGTATATTTCATCCCATTCCCTTCTGGCCTGATATGTTTCTGTTGAGAAATCAGTTGCTAGTCTGATGGGGGTTCCTTTGTATGTAACTTTCTGTCTCTCTCTGGCTGCTTTTAAGATTCTTACTTTGTCGCTGTTGTTTGCCACTTTAATTATAATGTGCCTTGGCGTCTGTCTTCTGGGATTCATTTTGCTTGGGACTCTGCGAGCATCTTGGATTTGTGTGGGTTTTTTCTTCTCTATCTCAGGAAAGTTTTCAGTCATTATTTCTTGAAATACTTTTTCCATGTCTACTTCAGTTTCCTTTCCTTCAGGAACCCCTATTATTCGAATATTATTTTGTTTTGTATTGTCCCAAAGCTCCCGTAGACTCTCCTCCTGCTTTTTAATCTTTTTTTCTAGAAGCTGCTCTAATTGGGTATTTTTTTCCAACTTGTCTTCTAGCTCACTGATGCGGTCCTCTGCTTCATCTAGTCTACTCTTGATGCTTTCTATTGAGTTCTTCATGGTAGCGATGTCATTTTTTATTTCTTCTTGGTTCTTCCTCAATTCTTCATGGCTCTTCTTCCATTCCTCATGGTTCTTCCTCATTTCTTCTTGGTTATTGTCAAATTTCTCTTCCATTCTTTTTAGCCAACCTATGATCATTATTCTGAACTCTTGCTCTGGTAGGCTGCTTGTCTCTGACTGGTTTACTTCCTTTTCTGGTGATGCCTGCTTTTCTTTCATGTGCGGCATATTTTTTTGTCTTCCCATGGTATCTCTTTTTTCAGGATGTCTGGTTATGTGGTATTCCTTCCCTTGCGTTGATTTAAAGGTGCAAGATATAACACTACCAGGTACAACACAAGAGGCACTGAACAGGAATGTATTTACAATATTAATAACCTCTAATAAAGGTGACCACTAGAGAAAGGCAAATTAGGGGATGGGAGAGAAGGAAGGAAGGTAAAAATAAAATAAAGAAAAAAAATAAATAAATGAAAAGAAATAAAAATAAAGAAAGTAATAAGTAAATAAAAAAAGTGGGATAAAGAGATAGTCAAAGAAGAAAAGAAGAAAAAAAAAGAAGGAGAAAGAAAAAAAAAAAGAAAAGAGAAAAAAAAAAGGTAAAAAAAAAGTAATAATAAATTGAAATTGGAAAACAGGGAAATATTGTAAGAGAGAGAGAGAGAGAGAGAGAGAGAGAGAGAGAGAGAGAGAGAGAGAGAGAAGAAGCAAACTAAAAGAGAAGTGAGAGACAAACTATATATATGTGGAGAAAATTACCATAAAACAACCACTGAGCCCAGTCAATGCCAGTAACAATACTTGGTGATTAGTACAAACTACAATATCTACTATTATTAAGTAAGGCTATGATATACAGAGGTAAAAGAAACAAACAAAAACAGAGTATTTTTGAAAAATTCAGAGCAACAATAATAACACAGGAATAAGCATAACAGTTTCACTAAAAAGCATAAAAATTCACAATAATCAACCTTCACATAAACAATGAGAAAAGTATAGAAAGTAGAACAGGTTTTTTTTTTTTTTTTTAACTAGTTAATATAGTGCAGAGAATGGTATTTATACACTTGGATCAGGGGTTGGAACTTAGGTCTATAAGTATAGTGAGAGCTTTAGCAGAGGGTATACAGAAAGAATAGAGGAAAAACTAAAGCCGGAAAGGGATAGGATAAACCTGAGATTAAAAGATTAAAGTTTAGTAAGAGAGTGATGTTTTAAAGGTCGAGTTGAGATAGGGTTGAATGGTTCTATAGTAGAGATTAAAATAGAATGAAGGTTATTCCCAATGTAAAATAAAGAAAAAATAAAATGGTACTGGAGAGGAGAAGAAGAAAGAGAGAGAAAAAAAATTGCAAATTAGCAGTAGTAATAGTGATGATAGAGATTAAAAAAGGTAATAATTGAAAAGGTAAAATCAAGTAAGGCAAAAAGAAAAAAAATCGTTTCTTAAGCAAGGATGTAAAAAATGAAGATTAAATAAGAGATGTAAAAAATGTCAATAAAATAAAGAATAGTAAAATTCGTGTTCTTAGTTTTAAATTTTTCTGATGATAAAATGCACTTTAATGCAAGAATTAGGCTTTGAATACAAAGTGGGAAATGTCAGATAAGAATCTTCTCATCACCAGCCAAGAAATTTAATTCTGACCCTTAATTGAGGCCTATGGTAAGGTCATTCTGTGAAGAAGCAACTTATAGGGTAAAGTGGTTATAACTCCCAAGGAGTTTATACTGTCTCAGAAATACATTTGAATAAGTTCAAGATCAGAGTTATATTAGAGAATAAAGCGAAGGGGGGAGGATTTTCCCAGAACTGTATTAACATATTACAAATGCCTTTCCAGCCATCTTTAATGTTTTTCTTTTGTAGTCGGTGACTTTCTAGAGTAAGTATTTTGTTTCAGGGCTCCAATGCAGGTTGTTTAGCACATTGAGAACAAAATCTGGAAGGCTTTGAACTTTGTGTTTTATAATCTTCACTCAAAACAGTCTGTATTTACTGTTTTTCCAATACTCTCAAATCATTTATTCAGAGTTATTACAAAATGTAATGGTGACTACCAGAGGGAAAGAGTTGGTGGTGGAGGTAGAAAAGGGTGAAGAAGGGATAAATGGTACGGGAAGGAGACTTGACTTGGAATGATGAATATACAATACAATATATAGTTGATATATTATAGAACTGTATATCTGAAAAATATAATTTTATTAACCAATGTTACCACAATAAATTCAATAAAAATTTTAAAGTATTAAAACATTATCACAAAGCATAGGATAAGTAATTAATGAGTATTTTTTCTTTGTTATATTTTGATTGTAAAAAGAGTTGTTTTTTTCAATGTTTAAATAATTTTCTTTTTAATCCTCACCTGAGGATATGTTTTTATTGACTTAGAAAGAGAGAGAAATATCAGTGTGTGAGAGAAACATTGATCAGTTGCCTCCCAAACACCCCAATGAGGGATCAAACCTGCAAGCTAGGTATGTGCACTGACCAGGTATTGAACCCACAACCTTTTGTTGTATGAGATGATAAGCCACCCAGCCCGGGCCATTAAGTAAATTTTTAATTTTAGAATCACAGAAAGATTGCCAAGATACTATATAGAGTTCTAGCATACCCAGTTTTCCTCATTATTAACTTCTTATATTGCTATAGTATATTTCTCAACACTAAGAAACTGACATTAGCACATGGTTATTAACTAAACTTCAGAATTTATTTTTCCATCAATGTTCTGTTTCTGTTCCAGGATTCAGTCCAGGGAGCCACATTGCATTTAGTTGTCATTAAAAAATTTAGAGAGTCTTTTCCAGTCTTCTCTAGTTTATGATAGTTTCTCAGTTTTTCCTTGTTTTCCATGACCTTGATTGTCTTGAGAAATACTGGCCAGATACCCTGCAGAATATCTCCCAATTTGGGTTTGTCTGGTAGTTTTCTTTAGATTAGACCATAGTTATGAGTTGTAGAAAGAATACTACAGGGTAAAATGTCTTCGTGACATCCCTCCCCCGTAGCTGAGATTTCGCTTTCCACAGTTTCATTTACCCACAGTCTGAAAGCATTGGAAATGCTTAAATAATGGAAATTTAATAAAATTAATAAAATCTTAAGTTTTACACTGTACATCGTTCTTAGTAGCGTAATGAAATCTCATGCTGTACCGACCTGCCCAGGATGTTAATTATCCCTTTGTCCAGCATGTCCACACTGTGTATGCTATTTGCTGGTAATCACTTAATGGGTGTCTTGGTTAACAGATTGTGTATAAGAGAGAAAGAGATCACATTTACATAACTTTTACTACAGTGTATTTTAATAACTGTGCTATTTTATTATTAGTTATGTTGTTAATCTCTCACTATGCCTAATTTACAAATGAAACTTTATTGTAAGTATGTATAGGGAAAAAAACATAGTGTATCTATGCTATCTGCAGTTTCAGGCATCCGCTAGGCATGTTGGAACATTTACCCGCAGATAAGGGGGAGCTGTTGTATTTGATAGCTACATGATGTCATGGGTGATGTTAATCTTCATCACTTGTTTAAGATAGTGTTTGCTAGGCTTCTCATTGTGAAGTTACTATTTTCCCCTTTCTGTTGGCTATTCTTTGGAAGTGAGTCAATCTATTTTAGATTCTCACTACCTTCAGGAGGAAATAAAATATATGTAACATAAAATTTACTGTTTTGACTATTTTTAAGTGTACATTTCAGTGGCACTAAGAACATTCAGATTGCACAGCCATCAACACTATCAATCTCTAAAACTCTTTCATTATCCCAAACACTGTACCCATTAAACATTAATTTTAAAGGGAGTTCTAATATGTAAATTATTTAGCATAGTATCTGTTGTATTGTAGGCACACAATAAGTATGAGCTGTCCACAAGACCTTTCACTCGGGCTTTTTAAAATATAGATATATTTTATTAATTTTTTTACAGAGAGGAAAGGAGAGGGTTAGAGAGAAACATCGATGAGAGAGAACCATCGATCTGCTGCCTCCTGCACACTTTCTAGTGGGTATGTGCTCAAAACCAAGGTACATGCCCTTGCCCAGAATCGAACCTGAGACCCTTGAGTTTTCAGGCCAATACTCTATCCACTGAGCCAATCCGGTTAGGGCTCACTGAGGCTTTTTTAGAAAGATTTTTTTTCCCTTCCATTTTAGGTTCTGAATTGACCTCTAAAAGAGCTGGTAAAAAAAACAATTTTGCCCTTTCTATAAAAGTCTCTTATAAAAATTCATTTGGAGAGGAGAGTAATAATTATTGGTTAAAATTGGAATTTTTTTTTATTACTTTTGGATTCTAGTTATTCTTTATGACAATTTTATTACTATGTTTTAGAAATAATTGATTATACTTTCATATTATATGTACATATGAGAGCTTTAGGAGCTTTTCTAAACTGTAAAATAACTTTTTTTTCTAGAAGTTAGCAAGCCATATATAATGTATTCTGCTTATTATAGGGTAGAACTGTTACCATTAAGCTGAAGAATGTGAATTTTGAAGTAAAAACTCGTGCATCTACAGTTTCATCTGTTGTGTCTACTGCAGAAGAAATATTTGCTATTGCTAAAGAATTGCTAAGAACAGAAATTGATGCTGATTTTCCACATCCCTTGAGATTAAGACTTATGGGTATGACTTTTCTTGCTTTTCCTTAAATAGCTAGACTTTCCCAAAAAATAAACTTTGAAAATATTCTCACCTCTAATTTATTTCTTAAAACTGTTTAGGAATTTTTACTTATGCTGCTGCCATTTTTCTTAATGCTTAGAACCTAATGCATGTGAAGCTATGATAATTAATTTAATTCCAGTAAGAACCAATCAAAGTTGTCCTTTTCTTACAAATATTGAAATCCTTGGGGCTAGGCTTTTCAAATTTTAGAAAGCATACTGAGTATATTTTGTAATACTCCTTTGAGATCTGAGGAAATAATCCATATTCAAAGACATTAATATTTTTGTAGCAAAACAAAAAATATTCACACTGAATCATTAATAATAAATTAAAGAGTTTATTATAAGCAACTATATGTTGCTTACAATTTATCTGGGCTTTTTGAATTTCAGAATTACAGATGAGGAACTAAAGCACTATTTAGCCACCACATGTAAGAAAAAAATAAAACAACAAACCATGTTGCTAAAGTGAATTGGGTAAGAGAATGTTTATGGATAAGCACCCCAAATGCCAACTTAGTATACTACTAAGAATGGGTCATTAACCATATTTTCATATATGAAAGACAGCGGCTGCTGAGACCAATCGAATAAAGTATGTTAACTAAAAAGAACTAAGAATAGATGTTAATAGCAGCTTTATTCATAATTGCTAAAACTTGGGAGAACCAAAATGTCATTCAGTAGTAGGTCAACGGAGACTGTGGCACATCCCTACAATAGAATTATTTAGCCATAAAAAAACAATGAGCTATTGCCCTGGCTGGTGATGCTAAGTGATTAGAGTCTTGGGTTAGACCCATGCATCAAAGGGTCTCAGGTTCGATTTTCAATGAAGGACACGTACCTGAGTTTTGGGTTAATTTCACCCCAGTTGGGCACTATTCAGGTGGCAGCCAATTGATGTGTCTTTCTCACATCAATGTTTCTCTCCCTCTTCCTTCTCCCTCTCTCCCTCTCTCTTTCCCTCCCTCCCTCTGTCTCTCCTTTCCACTCTCTCTAAAAAGCAATGGAAAAATATCTTTGGATAAGGATTAGCAAAGTAAGAAAAAAATAGAAATGAGTCATCAAACCATGAAAGACATAGAGGAATCTTAAGTGTATGTTATTAACTGAAAGAAGCCAACCTGAAAAGCCTACATACTGTATTATTCCAATCATATAACATTCTGGAAAAGATACAGAGACACTAAAAATGTCAGTAGTTATCAAGTGTTGGTGGGAAGGGAGGAATGAACAGGCAGAACACAGAGGATTTTTAGGGCAGTGAAACTATTCTGTATGATACTATAAAGGTAGATACATATCATTACACATTTGGCAAAACCTATAGAATGTGTAACACCCAAAGTGAATCCAATATAAACAATGGACTTTGATAATGTTGTGTCAATATAGGTTTATTGGTTGTAACATATGTAATACTCTAGTGGGGGATGTTGACATATGTGTTTGTGTGTATAGGAGTACTACCCTCACACACATACACATGGGAACTCTGTACTTACTGTGTTTCCCTGAAATAAGATCTAGTGCATGGAAAGATAAGACATCCCCTGAAAATAAGACCTAGCGCAACTTTGGGAGAAAAAAATTAATATAAGACACTGTCTTATTTTAGGGGAAACGGTATTATTCAGTTTTTCTGTCAACCTAAAATTCATCTGAAAACAAAAACCTACTGAAAAAAAAAAAAGGAGCTAAAGTATCTATGTAGTTGACTCCAATTAGTTACTTGGTATTTATTAAATGGTATCATGTGTTACGATGTTAATTGAGAGGCCTATATAATCATCTAACTAAAATAGATACCTGGGTAATCAGTAAATACCCAGTTTTATAAAGGAAAGTATATATTTCAACTCAAACTGCCAGCTTTGGAAAAACATCCTTTAATTCAGAAAATACACAGTGTTGCTTATTGTTTATCTCTAAACAGCCTTTTGTAAATATTTCATAACAGTACTTGAAAATGTTTTTATGAATTACGAGTGAATTGGCTTTTTTAATTTGAAATGGACTAATTGTGCTTGGTTTAATTTAGGAGTACGGCTCTCTGGTTTTCCCAATGAAGAAGATAAGAAACACCAACAACGGAGTATTGTTGGTTTCTTACAGGCTGGAAACCAAACCCTGTCAGCCACTGGGTGTACAGAGAAAACTGACAAAGATCAGTTTTTAAAACCTGTAGAAATGTCTCATAAGAAGAGTTTCTTTGATAAAAAACGATCGGAAAGGAAATGGAGTCACCAAGACACATTTAAATATGAAACTGTGAATGGACAAGGTGTACAGACATCACAGTCATTCCAAGTTTTAAAGAAGAAGATGAGTGAGAATTTAGAAACATCAGAGAGTTCAAACAACCATCAGATGTTTACCTGTCCCGTTTGCTTTAGAGAGCAAGGAAGCATCAGTCTGGATGCCTTTAATAAACATGTAGATGCATGTCTCAGTGGACCTTCGACGAGTGAAATGTTCTCATGTTCACATGCTTCCTCTACAGAAGTTAACAAGAAAGAAAATGTACATCATTCTTTTTCACTCTGTGAGAAGCAGGATTCTGAAACCCATCAGAAGAAGACAGAAATCACTTCGGAAGATTGTGTCCAGTTGGTAGAGGCTGTAGGTAATGCATCTAAAGCAGAAAGTGTAGATGCTTCAAGTAATAAGCTCAGCGAAGAGGGATATTCTAGTCTTCCAAGCACATCGTTTAATATTGAACACTGTCATCAGAATTCTTCTTGTACTGTTTCGTTGCAAAATGAAGATTCCACGTCATCGAGAAGGCAAGAAACCCTCCAGCCTTGCTCATATGAAGTGATAACAGACCAGGCTCTAATATGTCCTGTTTGTAACCTAGAACAAAAGACTTCAGATCTTACCCTGTTCAATGTGCATGTGGATATCTGTTTAAATAAAGGCATTATCCAGGAACTGGAAAAGGATAAAGTTAGCCCAGTAAATCAGCCCAAAGGAAGCACCAGAAGTACTGGTAAGTTTGCAGTAATTTTAAAGAACTTTTATTTTCCAGGAGTGTTTTATCTAAATTGTGGTCATTGTTAAACCTTAAACACATACTATTAAAGTGACAGTTTGTGTATGCTGCCATTTAGGTGAATGTTAGTTATCTTATAAGTTCAAATGAATTGAAACCATTAAGTTTTAAATTTAGGGAAAACTTTGGTTTGGGCTTGATTTAGCACAGAATGAACTCAAAAGTTTAGGGAGCTGAGTGGTGTAGTCAAAAAAGAAATAATCCTTCAGAGAACACTTATTAAGGCACAGTGGAAAATTAACAATAACTTACATAGCCAGAAAGCCTCTTTAACTTGTTCTTTGGTAGTTCTGACTCTGGCCAATTTCCAAAAATAAAACTAAGTGTAACACTATTAAAGTAATTTTTAAAATTATGCTATCAAATTAGTTTCTGGTATATATAAATAAGAACTATGTAACAATAAGGAATTTTTATTATCTTTATATCAGTTAGCTCTAATTTTTTGCATTTTTATGCAACCCTTTAAATATTTATTTTTCTTCCCTCTTTAGGTAACTCAGGCAGAGTACAGAAGACCATAATAAAACCCAAAAGGTATGGCTAATTTGAGTTTTAATAAAGCTAGCTATAAAATTCATATTTTGAGGTTGAATTTTTAGATGTTAACATTTTCTTTTACATAAAGTAAATTTTTTAAAAAAAAATCAATTATTTGCAAAATTATTTTTTAAAATCTCTTTTTGCATTTTAATTTTTTGTTGTTTTTTAATTCCAGGTCAGGATCGATGACAAAATCCTCAACAACAAAGAAAATAAAACCAAACAATCCCAGACACACCCTGGATACCTTTTTTAAGTGAACATTGAACATTTTATCATTAATTTTTAATTGAAACTTGTTTTTATAATCACTGAGCTATTCTTCCTCATTTTAAGTTTACAGATTCATTTAGTGAATGACGAATGCAGCAATCCCTCCCAATGATATTTCCTATACATGAATTTGGAATATATACTAATTTACTTCTGTATACCTTTTTTATATCATAAGAATTACACTTCCTGTTAGAAATATTTTTAAAATGAGAAATTAAGGAATGAGATCAAAAATTGATTTCTGTCTTTATTAAGTTTTATAGTGAATATAAAACCATCTATTTGTAAGCGTTCTCAGAGGTTCACCGAAACCTTTTTTAGCATAAGAACTTTTCAGCACTTAACCATTTGTTGGCACTGGTCTGCTATATTTGATCTTAGTGTCTTCTACAATTTTGTATATTAGTATTTTAGCTCCTCGTATCCTCAGATACCTCATGAGCATTCATAATTAATATTTATCATGCATTCTATGAAGAATATTAGCTTAGCAGAACTAGCATGTGTGGTTCTGTTTCTTTCAGGATAATAGTATCACAGTATCATTTTCTGTGTTAAAAAATTTTGTTCAAGTACGACTATTTATTTGATTTTTTAAATTAAAATTCCTTCTTATGCATAAGCACTTGATCCACTTTAAAAATGTTTTGTCTGATATAAATTATTTTTTTATCTAGAACCTTAAATGGCATTTATATCTGTACTCTGCACAATCTGTAAAGAATAAATTGTACACTCACTTTATTTTTATATAACCTTCTAGAGAAAAATGTATAAAAGCTGTATGTGTATTATAATAGCTCATTTATCTTAGTTATATTTATGTCATGTTTTTATTAATATTTATGAAATAAGACAGCTTAACAGTAAGTAGCTAACTTAAGTAGTTTCTCCAGATAATTTAGTGCTATCAGTAAGAGTTTTTGTCATTAGTAAGTATTTAATTGAAACATGAGGATGATAGTCATTTTGTGGCTGCTTTAAAGAAACAAATCTTTTGTTTTCTTATATTTCTTGTGGGTTTTTTTTTCAATTATAGATAGCACCATATTTTTTTCTTCCTTCCCCCAAGTTTATATTTATTGTTTTCAATATTAAATACTAAATTATTTTCATTTAGATGATTTATTTAATTGAATGCTATTTAGTCATATTCCTATATAATAAAAGGCTAATGTGCAAATTGTCCCCTTGACCAGGAGTTCGACTGGGAGTTTGACCAGGGGGTGGGGCCGGCCAGCCAACTGCCTGCAGCCCCTCCCCCCGGCTGGCCGTGCCCCTTCCCCACCCCTATTGTCCCCTGACCCCATTTGGGTGTAGGGCTGGCTGGTCAACTTTCTGAGTCCCCTTCCCCTGCCCGGCCCAATTGGGCCCCAATCGGGGTGAGCTGGATAGATCCCACCAATGCACAAATCCATGCACTGGGCCTCTAGTTTAATAATAATTCAAATAAAATTTAAAATATGTGGTCGATCTTTTAGTCTATGGTTTTCTTTCTTCCCACTCTTTTTCTACCTTAGTGCTTTTACTCCTATTTTCTTTGCTAAAAAGTCTCTTCACATCCTTTTCTGTTTAATCTAATTCATCCAACTAATTTTCTTTTGTATTATAATTTTCTTTGGGGCATTTTTAGAAAACATAACAAAGCTACAAAGTATAAGCACTTATAATCTTATCTACTTAATAGGGTCAGAATATAAGGAAGGACTTGGGAGAACATATTTGTAGTACAATAATTGAGAAAAAACTAGTATCCAGAGTGTATAATCCAGAATATATAAATGAATTCAATGAATCAGTAAAAAGAAGGGGAAAAAAGACAGCCAATAAAAATTTGGATAAAAGATTATAAATGACACTTGACATAAAAAGAAATAAGAATGGCCAAGAAACATGTATGTATTCTCAGCCATTTTAGTAATAGGGAAATGAAAAGTAAAAACACACAGAGGTATCATTACAGCCCTACCAGATGCACACAAATGAAAAAGGGTCCATTGTTCTGTTCATGATTTGGAGCAACATGAACTCTTACTTTGAAAACAATCACTTTGGAAAACAGTTTGCCTTTGTCAACAACCCAGCAACTGCACTCCTAAATATACACCTTTCCTGGTTATTTGTTTTTACTTTTTTTAAAATATTTTTTCATTGATTTTTAGAGAGAAAGGAAGAAGGGAGAGATACAAACATCAGGGATGAGGGAATCGTCGATCAGCTGCCTCCTCCATGCTCCCTACTGAGGATTGAGCCTGAGACCTGGGCATGTGCCCTGACCAATAATCGAATCGGTGACCACTTGGTTCATGGGTCAACAGTCAGCCACAGCTACACTGGTTGGGCTCCTGGTTATTTTCTATTTGTCCTCCATATCACACTTTGCCTTCAGTGCCCTGCTTTATGTCCAGCAGGGTATCATGGCAATGGGGAAGCCACTGCAGAAGACATGAGGGAAGAAGAAAAGTGAAGTTGGCTATTTATTCCTTCATGTACCTTTTTGTTAAGTCCTTTGACCTAAGGTCACAGCCTCTTGTAGGTGTGCATCTTCATATTGCATTCTCTGATCGCTCTCCAGGTTCTAATGATTCGTCTTTCCTCACCTTTTCAGCCTAGGAGTGGCAACAGAGCCTTGCTCTTAGTAGCCCTGGTGTGCTGCACTACCCTTTATGGTTTCCCCATACCTGCCCGCACCTGTAGAGATGGTCCCTTTATTAAACTCATCTCAAATTACAATTTCTTTTTTCTGCCAGAACCCTAGCTAATACATTGCTCTGGGAAAACAATTGAACATATTCCCTAGGAAGCACATCTAAGAATGCTCATAGTCGTACTATAATAGCCAGGAATTAGAAATTAACCAAATATTCAGCAATGGTGGAATGGTTAAATTCTATCATTGTATATTCCAACAATAGAATTCTACACAGTGGTGAAAGTGGGTATGTGTGTGTGTGTGTATATATATATATATATATATATATATATATATATATATATATATTCAGAATGTGGGTGGATATCAAAGATAATGTGGAGCATAAGAAGCAAGTCATAGAAGAATGCCATCAGTAGGATTCCATTTATATAAAATTCAAAACAAAGCTAGACTATATTGTGTTAAAGGTGTATCCATATGAGATCAAAGTATTTTAAAAAGCATGAGTGTTGTCCCAATGGTTGGAATAATGATTTCCTCTGAGTGAAGGGCAATGGTACATGGAGCTTCTGGGATGCTGGCAGTGTTCTGTTCCTTGTCTTGGGTGGTGATTGGATGTTCATTAAAAAATATTCTTTCAGCTGTACAAATATATTTTATGCACTCTTGTTCATATGTGACCTATATCACAATAAAAAAAAAAATGGTAGAAACTGCTTTGTTCATCTGCTTTTCCTCCATCTCTGCAGGCTCCTAGCTTCAATAGAGGAAAAAGTACATTTCTCTCTTCTAAGACTTTGCTGAACACAGCAAGAAAGTGCCATCCTATACCAACACTTTGAGTTTTTCTTCTAATACTTCCCCTGATACTACAGCCTCAATCAGCATGTGGTCTGCCTTCCAAAGGACAGCAGTTGACAATTTGACCTAATACTTTGTCACCATCAAATAAGTCACCAGCTTTTCAGCCAGTGATATTTGTGTCCTCACTGCCCAAAGTCCTCCCTCAGACACTAAGCCAATTCTATATACTATTAGGTTTTGTTACTCGCAGCACCCTACTTTCTGTATGAGTTCGGAGTTTCACTTCAGCTATGATTACAAAGGCACAAATAAGAGCTTTTTTTAAAAATCGGTTTTAATTTTCACTTGAAGCCTCTGATTTTCTTGGCCTCACGCAGTTGATTTGAGGTCACAAGATGAGCTTTTCCACATCCAACCCTCCACGTGAGTTCCAGGCAGGAGGATGAGAAAGTGAAAATTAAAAAAGGGCAACAAATTTGTTCCTCTTTAAGGAGCTTTCCTGGAAACCCCACATATTATAATTTCCACATATCTCAAACTGTCATATTATAGGACAACTAATAAGGATTGCCCATATAAGGAACCGGAAAATGGAGTTTTTAGCTGGACCCATTGCCACCTCAAACCGAATCAGGGTCTGTTGTTAATTCTACCTGTACCATAATAAATTCCTATTGAAAACTAGATAAATTATCACATTGGTGAAATTTTAGAAGCATTTTTTTGGGATAACACAAGGGTGCCCTCTTATTATTTTGTTGGAGGCCCTAGCCAATTTAATAAGTAATATGAATGAAAACTGGAAACAGAAATAAAAATAAAACTTTATTGTCAGTGTGTTTGTCTACATTTTTTTCAAATTATCTATATTTAATAAGAGTTTAACAAGGTTATGACTACAAGATCAATATACAAAATGAATAGCAATCCTAGACCATAATAACCAATTAGAAGATATAATAAAAATAATCTCTTATATGACAATAATCTACAAGATACCTAAATGGTAGGTATCTATCAAGAAATATGCAAGAACTTGGGAACTACAAAATACTACTGAAAGGTCATTAGTACATCTGAGGAAATGAAAAAAGTGACTTCCTGATAGGAAAAGTGATAAAACTATTCTCCCCCAAAATGGTCTATAAATTCAGTGAAAATAAAAACAAAATCCTTCATGTTTTTTCTTGGGAGTTAAGTAGATCCTAAATGTTATATGGAAAAGCAAAAGCTCAAGAATAAGGTAGAAGGGCAGGTCCTATTACATGCCATGATTTTTTAACAATTATTATTAAGCTATCTTGTTACTATAGCTTTATGACAAATCTGGGGCACAAAATGTTCTTTTGTTACATAATTAAGAAATAATCACTTTTGCTTTGTAATATACAATTGGGTTAGCAGTTTAAGAAAAACCTTAATAATATGGTGAGAATTGGAAACATGATTCCATTTATTAAGCAAACCACAATATTGAACTTGTCCCCCTTACAATTTATGACAGTGTTAGTATTTCATTGTTGCTGTCTACAGAAGGCACAGGGCGACAGAAGATAATCTAGAAGCAAATGGTGCTAAACCTTTATAACTGCAGCTCTAAAATTGACTATAATTTCAAACTCACACATACATATGTATACATAGATATACATTCATTACACACACGCACACAAACTCTGTCAAACTCATGTCTACTATTGAATTTTGTCTACCTTTGTGGGGCCTCTTGAAAACATCCACTACTTTCTATACCTTTTATCACCCCTTAGCAGTTACCTAATCTCTGGCTTTCCAATTTTCATCCATTTCTCTCTCTCTCTCTTTCTCTCTCTCTCTCTCTCTCTCTCTCTCTCTCTCTCTCTCTCTCTCTCTCTCTCTCTCTCAACATTTAATCACTTTTATTTATTATTTTTGTTAATCCTCACCCAAGGACATTTTTCCACTGCCTTTTAGAGAGAATGGAAGAGACAGAAATATCGATGTGAGAGAAACACATAGATTGATTGCCTCCTGCAGGAGCCCTGACCAGGGCCCCGGCCAAGAAGGAGCCTGAAACCAAAGTACATGCCCTTGACTGGAATCAAACCCGGGATCATTTGGTCCACAGGCTGATGCTCTATCCACTGAGAAAAACCGGCCAGGGCTTTCTCCCTTCTCTTAGGGCCATGTACCTGCGAATCTGTGTATACTAGTACACATACAAAAAAGGTGGGCTGGTTCAGGGTCAAATCTAGTTTTGTTATGAGGGCTCACATTTTGTTTTTTCACTCCTAGAAATATGCTGCGCTTCCAATGGGACCGCAGGAGCCATTCCACAGGTGTGAGCTGGTTTTATTTGGTTGCAATCCATTAGACACGTTATGGGATTATCCTTCAATATTCTACTTTTCTTGCATATTATTAGAATTTTAGCCAGGCACATGATTGCCCAAAGTAGGTTATGTGTCTCACCAATTCGTTATTATATAAACTACAAGGAAGTGATAATACCCAAGACAAGGAGTCCAGTAAATTACAACTGCATTAACATGGGACACCCAGGCTTCCACGCCAAGGGAACCTCAGTGTCCCTCTATTCCAAAGAAAATCCGGGAAGCCCATGTGGAAATGGTGCTAAACCTTTCTAACTGCAGCTCTAAAATTGACTATAATTTCAAACTCACACATACATATGTATACATAGATACACATACATTACACACACGCACACAAACTCTGTCAAACTCATGTCTACTATTGAATTTTGTCTATCTTTGTGGTGGGGCCTCTTGAAAATATCCACTACTTTCTATACCTTTTATCACCCCTTAGCAGTTACCTGATCTCTGGCTTTCCAATTTTCATCAGTTTCTCTCTCTCTCTCTCTCTCTCTCTCTCTCTCTCTCTCTCTCTCTCTCTCTCTCTCTCTCTCTCTCTCTCTCCATTTAATCACTTTTATTTATTATTTTTGTTAATCCTCACCCAAGGACATTTTCCCATTGACTTTTAGAGAGAATGGAAGAGTTTAATACTGAGGTTCCAGTGGTGCTGGTTAGGATCCAACCGCCACAGTTCTCAGCACTGGAGGAAGAATCGCTGGGGAATGCGCTGGGCGTTTCCTCAGAATGTTTTTCTTCAGGGAAAACCACGTCCTGTCACGCGCCCGCCACACCTGCGCGGACCTCACACCTGAGCCCCGGCCTCACACCTGTGTCCGGACCTGCGCCCGGAGGCCGGCGGACATGCACCCCAAAGGGCAGGAGGAACGTCAAAAGGAGGCGGTGGCAGCTCCGAGCTCCGTGAGTCCAGGGCCAGGTCTGCACAGTCTGGCGGGGGGGTGGGAGGACGGGGCGGGCAGGGGACCCTCCTCCCCGCCGCGGACCCCAGCCTCAGCCCCGCGCTCCCTGCGCTCAGGCTCAGCCCCTGAACCCACCCCATCCCTGTTGGGTTCACATTCTCAGGTTGCGCCTGTGCTGTGAACGGAAGGAGCGTGTTCTTCCCACATAAGGAAGAGAATTTTTATAGAAGTGATTAAGCCCTTTTACAAATAAGGGTTTTACGTGCTATTGTCTCATAGCCTGACTCATGTGCTGATTTATTGTGTGACTTTAAGTAAGTCAGTTTTCTGTGCTTAAGTTCTTAAAGCAGGGAATCCATTTATAGTATAAACTGAGCCACGGTGGGAAGGAATGTGAGGTTAGGAGACAGTTTGAGGGGGAGCGTGCGCTGCAGGGATGATAGCATTGCTGAGTGTTTTGAGGGGAATGAGTAAAATGGTTCAGAGAAGAAAGGGGATAATGTCTAGGAAACTGATATATGAAATAACTGATGAGAAGGGGTGGGATTCAGAGCCCAAGTGAGATGTGACAGGTAGTTTTTGAGGATGAGCAGGTCAAGAGTTTGACCCTGGAATAGGGTGACTGAGGTCAGATAGAGGGTAAGATTATTAGGGCAGGGAGCAGGGAACCGAGACATTACAGGGTGGTAACAAGAGTAGGGGTGGCTGAAACCGGTTTGGCTCAGTTGATAGAGCGTTGGCCTGCGGACTTGGGGGTCCCAGGTTCGATTCCAGTCAAGGGTGTGAGCACATCTCTGGTAGGGGGTGTGCAGGAGGCAGCTAGTCGATGTTTCTCTCTCATCGATGTTTCTAGCTCTCTATCCCTCTCCCTTCCTCTCTGTGAAAAATCAATAAGATATATTAAAAAAAAAAAAAAAAAAGAGTAGGGATGGAAGGAGAGAGGAATCCAGGTGAGAGGAAAAAATGAAGACACTCCCTGGTCTTTGATCAGACTTGGTGGCATTATAAAGAGTCTTTGGTAGATGCTAGGGAAGCTACTTAGCAATACATCTACAAAACCTCTCTTTGAGTCCTTTCTTGTTGGAGATGGTTTATTGGTGATTTCACATTTTCCCAATTCTGACTTTTCCTCCAGAGTTGGGTTGTCCTCTGTGAGCCCTCTCCTCCCCTACATAAAAATAAATAAATAAATCCTGAATCTTCTCTGGGCTAGGTAATGTGTATATGAATGTGTATATGTGTGAATCTACTTTTATCTCCTTTCATATAAATGAGGATAAAACACATTCATCCCTTTTAGCCTTTGTATATATTTATATGATGTGCTGGATTTTATTTTATTTTTTTACTGAATTTATTGGGTTACATCTATCTACAAAAGCCTAAGCAACCACTCGACCATTTGACTATTTGATTGGTAAGTATGATGTGCACTGACCACCAGGGGGAAGACGCTCAATGAACAGGCTTGGAAACATGGAACAGACTAATGAATCTCAGAGGGAAGGTGGGGAGGAAGGTGGGAAGAGATTAACCAAAGATCTTATATGCCAGTGTTTCCCAAAGTGTGGTACGCGTACCCCTAGGGGTACGGGAAGGGTTTGGTGGGGGTATGTGTTGCACCAGAGTTTGGTGGGGATATGCACTGCACCGTGCTTAGCTGCGCCTAATTCTACGTTCTCATGAGTACGAGGGGTACTCAGCATTAAGAAAATTATAGAAGGGGTACACATATGTCAAAAGTTTGGGAAACATTGTTATATGCATACTAGAGGCCTGGTGCTGGGATTCATGCACTGGTAGGGTCCCTCTGCCTGGCCTGTGGGGATTGGGCCGAAACTGGCAGTCCAACATCCCCTGAGGGGTCCTGGATTGCGAGAGGGCACAGGCCAGGCAGAGGGACCCCATCAGAGCATGGAGTCTACTTGGTTAATAAAATTACACAGGTTTCAGGTATACAATTTTACAATACATTATCTGAATATTATAGTTTGGCTTACAATCCCAAGTCAAGTCTCCTTCCATCACCATTTATCTCCCCTTTACCTTCTACCTCCCCTCACTTTCCCTTTTCCTTTGGCAATCACCATGCTGTTGTCTATGTCTGTGAGTTTTTCTTTGCTTAATCCCTTCACCCCTCTCACCCAGTCCCCAACCCCTCTCCCTTCTGATGGGCCGAAACTGGCAGTCCAACATCCCCTGAGGGGGCCTGGATTGTGAGAGGGCACAGGCCAGGCAGAGGGACCCCACCAGTACACGGAGTCTACTTGGTTAATAAAATTATACAGTCTTTGGGTTAAAAAATTGTCAGTCTTTCCTCTGTATTTAGGAGTCTGTCTCCAATTTATGAATTTGTTTTGTTAATTATAAGATTCCACATATAAGTGAAATCATATGGTATTTGTCTTTCTCTGACTGGCTTATTTCAGTTAGGATAATACTCTCCAGGTCCATCCATGCTGTCACAAAAGGCAAATTTTCTTTTTTTTAATGGCCCAGTAATATTCCATTGTGTAAATGTACCACAGCTACTGATGGACAACTTGGTATCTTGGCTGTTGTAAATAACGCTGCAGCGAACATAGAGGTGCACATATTCTTTTGAATTAGGGATTCAGGATGTGCTGCATGTTAAAGTTTTGCTTTGGCAGACCTGGCGTCTGCACAGGGTTCTGCAGACAACACTTTTATCTCTGTGTGGAGCATTTGGGCTGCTCCCCGTCTAATCTTGTATAAACATTTTATAAACAACGTCCCCTGGGGAGTTCCTGGCCAGCCCCCAGCCTCCCGGAGCCAGATACTGCATTGCTGACTTCAGGGTGGTCCTCGGGAATCATTGTTGGGACCAGGGATATTTCTAAGCGTGTGAAAACACTTGTAGTGCGAGGAGAAAGCAGCATCTCAGCACTACAGCTTTATAAAACATTGAAGCAAAGTTCCCGTGTTCAGAATGGCAGAATGAGAAAGGCTCAAGCCTGTAGTTTCAAGTTTTTATAGAGTGAAAAGGTTTACCAAATGAGGTTTGTTTTTTCCTCACCCTCTTTAAGTCCCCACCCCAAGTCACGCTTTGCTTGCTTGCTTTCAGTATTGCCAAATGAGAGAAGCCTCCAGAATGCTGCCAAAAGCAATAATTTGGATCTTAGGGAGAAGCAGTTTGAAAAGAAGGTTAACATGAATTCTGTGAACAAAGTGAGCAGAATTCACTAATGTGACAGTGACTACTCTAAGGGTGGCTTGGGTTTACACAGGTTCACTGACATATAATAAAAATAAAAAGGATTGTGCTGGATGAAATGAGGGAGATCTCCTTTATCGGTAATGCCAGAGTGTTTGTGCTAATGGCGAAGTCAGCACTGGACTAGGCTCTGCGAGAGCCACTTTACCTTACAGAGGGGACATGCACGTCTGTGCAAAGTCTGCGGGTGGCCAGCAAAGCCACTGTCAAGGTTGTGGGCCTGGGCGTGGTCCTAGATGATAGGCTGTGGCTGACTTTGGCCTCACTCATTCTGAGAAGGTCAAAGTCACCTTTTTTTTTTTTTTTTTTTTTTTTTTTTTTTTTTTGCTACATCTCTGGGTTGTTTTCTCCCAGTTATGTCCTGTGTGTTTGGATCTCCCACATGTAAAATCTAAAGGCAGCCCCATAAAATATGAAGAAGTGAGGAATTTTAACTACAATTGATTAAGTTTTCTGACTCTGGCGTTAAATGGGGGCTCCCTAAAGAGTGTGAACTTCAGGTTCCACAAAACCTGGATCCGCCCCAGGCAGTGAGGTCATAGAAACTGAAGTCTTGTATCATATGCAGGGGAAGGATGTTTAGCAGTTATTCATGTGTGTACCAGTGTGTGAGGGGATATGTGTTTATGTGTGTATTATGTACATGTGTGGGTGTCTGATGTGTTACTGGTATATATAAATATAAATATATATATATATATTCATTGTATATATACCTCCTAGAAGTACAAAATTAGTAACTTTAGTAACAAAAAGTAAAACAAAAGAAAAAAGGAATCAAGGGAAAAAAGGAGAGAGAGAAAAAAAAAGCAAGGATCTTTGACACTGTTGTTTAGGTTAATTGTTGAATAAGTAAAGCAATAATAATTTTTCACTGTAATCATTTTTCCAGGAAATAGATTTAGCAGGAAATAGATTATTCAGTATAATTTTATAACCATTTCATTTTCTTTTTACATATAACTTCCTGATATTTTAAACCATATTTTTATATTAAAGTACTTGGAGAAACAGTACAACCTAGACCACTTTATAGTTAGTATGGCAAATTATTACAAACTCCTGGTGAATGGTATTATTCTTTATAATGACATCTCTATTAGACCTGTTTACAGTAAATTGTTGACATGGTTACTTGTAATGTTCCTTAAAATCTGGGATGATAGAGATGAAAAACTGTAGGTGGTTTTATTGAATTATCTTGGATGCTGTTTTGACTTGCATTTTTATTCACAAATAAAGTTAAGGGGTTGTATAAGCCCAAATTTGACATATTTCAACATAGCTCTAGAGTTGGGGCAACATCAAGATAAGTAATGTCAAACTAGTTTATCACCAGTTATCATAAGATACCAAGGAAATCAGATGTTTAATTTAAACAATTTTCATATTTTTGCAATAAATTTTTTATATGAAACAAAGGATAGTAAATCAATGCCCAGGCACTTTCTTTGGAAGCAGAAAACAGTATCTAGAAAATGGGAAGTATGAGATGAGTTTTATTTGCAAGCAAAACATCCATTGTTTGAAACACATTAAACTGTCTCTGGACATCTCAGGAGCACCATAATGGCTTTCCTTTGAAGCAAAAGATATCCATCGCTTTCTTTTTTTTATTCTTACCCGAGGATATTTTTCTCATTGATTTTTAGAGAGAGTGAAAAGTAAAGAGGGAGATAGAGAAAAGCATCAATGTGAGAGAGATGCATTGATTGGTTGCCTTCCCGCATGCCCCCCAGAGTCTGCAACCGAGATTCATGCCCTTGACTGGAATCAGGCCCAGGATCCTTCGGTCTATAGGCCTACGCTCTATCCACTGAGCCAAACCAGCTAGCACCATAGCTTTCTTTCTCTGTGCCTATTTCTTTCTCCTTTCTTCCCCATTCCCTCCCTTTCAGAAGAATTTGTTTGCTTCAAAGTCCAAAAAATTGCAGGCGAAAGACCAC